AAAATGACCTTTCTCTCGTCCTTCTCTGTGTCACATTGTCTTTCTTTTTCTCTATGTTCCTCTCATTTTCTGTTTTACTTTCTATATCCGTCTCTCTCTTTTGTTTCCCTCTCGAACGCTTAACACAGACCGGGTTTAATAGGATTTTTTTTTTAGAAAAAAACTTCATTTATTTTTATTATTAAAAAAAAATGATACTAATTATTAAAGAAAGATTTTTAATTCTAAACGGGAAGTTGCAGTTCAGGGGGTGAATTTGTCATCAACAGAACTTTAATTCAGGAAACATGATTTAACCTTTCATTCAAATTTCAGATGACACACCCTACTCTCTCCGTGACGTACTCTTTTTTTTTCTCTCTCATTCTATTTTATCCTCTTTCTCTTTGCTTTTCGAGACATGCGTATTATATATCGGGAAACGATATATACATTTTTGTATATGAAGAACAGTTTTAGAAAACTCTATGACAAAATGGTAATTTTTCCTTTCGTCCCATGACGTCGAAAAGGATGAAACGCGTCACACGGAAAGTTGCGCTATATTAAGTCTAGTTAGTTTCCTCTTCGTCACTGAGGGCCGCTGGTATGATGCTTGCGTAGTATCGTAACCGGTCAGAGTTCGATTCTCGGTAGCGCATGCGCACTGCTGCTGAGTCACAAAAAGGACGAAACAACCGTCCAGTGCTTTCTGCTGAGGATCCTCATTCTAGACTCGATGAATTATTATGTTTATATATATATATATATATATATGTGTGTGTGTGTGTGTGTGTATTTAGGCAGCAATCCTTCTTTCATGCCCATTTCATTGAATACGACAGACAAGATGCATTGATTTAGTTTTCTTATACAATTTCTCATGTGATCTAATATTTTTTTTTCTTTTCAAGGGATAAATTATATAAAAACTGTCCGAATATTCTTTTTTTCCGAGCGCTTTCGGCTATACATTTAGCCATTTTCAAGGATGAAATATTTTAACTGTTAAATAAGAAATATGTTTGTTGCATGTATGCATTTATATAATGTTTTCATTTATTCAAAACACGGTCAAGATATTATGTCCATGTTCATAGTTGATATTATTAAGTGTTGGTTTAGATCGCATGAGAAATTGTATAAACTAAATCAAAGCACCTTGTCTGTCGTATTCAATGAAATGTGCATATGCCTATAATAATAATAATGGACTCTCCAGTCGGTTTCGACGCATGAGGATCTGACAGCTTAATGATTCAGTTATGAAAGTTTGTGCGATAATCTTAAGTGGCATATGCGCGCGCGTGTGTGTGTGTGTGTAGCCTGAATCTATGATACGGAGACCCACTCTACTACATTACAATTTTCATAAGTTAGTTTTATATGAATACTACCTATACAAATTTTATTTTAACCTAATTATGTAGAATAATGGATCATATGCAATATAGGTGAACAATTCAACTAGAAAAATTGAAAAGAAATACAATGTATCTAAATACAAATTAGAGAAATGCCATAATAGATCATCCATCTAAAATAAAATAATCTAGAATGATCTATTATTTACAGCATTAACTCTGTCCGGACAGGTTCCACCTTCCGCTTTCTTGAGACGTAGGCCAGACTGAGCAGTAGTAGAGGAAGTTGTACGTATTCATATTATACTGTTGGCGGAAAATGAGTGAAAAGAATTTAGAGCAGCGGTAAGAGTGGCAATAAAACGTTAGCCCCATTAAAACGGTTTGTATCGAATGCGTAACAGGGACAATATCAGTCTTGGGGGAAAATCCCAAAGCGCGGCACCTGAAAACCATATTACGGGTATAGATGGAATCGTTCGGAAGCCGTCGACGGTCGTGCTTACCAGGAAGTCAGAAGTCAACGTGAGTGAGGGAATAAGCGTGCTGGCTTTCTTTAAAAAAATGATCATGACAGATTATCCGTTCTATCTTGAAAACTAAAACTAAGGTTCGCTAGGCTGTATAAACCACAAAGCGGGTTGAGAAGTGGTCTGTAATCGTGGATTTATTACCTTCTGCTTGTCTATTCAGTCAGTTATGTGCCATGCGTGATACACGTTTTAGGCGATCATGTATCTTTCGATACATAACTGACGAGGCAGATTTTTTCCCGCAGTAGGTTTTTGATTTCTTTCTGTGGTAGACCAGTTGCTATAGAACCCGGTCTGTCCAGCTATTTACCCATAGCTGGGGGGGAGAAGACGAGGATTCATACCTTTCTCAAGGGTATTAGCACGTAAGTGAATGTAATTCGAACTCGGCTCTCCGAAACCTCAATCTGAGCCGCCATCCATTACTCCACCGTCATTATTGTGCATAATTAGTATTTTATATGAATACTACCTTATGAAAATTGAAATGTGGTATCATACATGGGGGTGGGGACGAGCCCTGCGTATATATATATATATATTGTTTTTTATTCAAACATATCTGCTCTGAATTTTACATTGAGCTCTCTGGATATCATCCTCGGGTCTACCCATACGAATTACCTAAGTTTGCATAAACTAAATATATATATATATATATATATATATATTGTTTGCTTAGTATTATTTTCCCCTATTTCTTTTTCTTGTTGCTTATTGAGAACTTTGCCAATTCCGTCTGTGAAGTATTTACACTTAACGATGTCCAATTCACACTTTATTTAGTTTCAATTCGTATCCAATAAATTGCTCGAAATCAGTTGCTTGACAGTAAATTGCTCGACAGTAAATTACTCGAAATCAATTGCTCGACATCAAATTGCTCGACAGTAAATTGCTCGAAATCAATTGCTCGACAGTAAATTGCCCGAAATCAATTGCTCGACAGTAAATTGCCCGAAATCAATTGCTCGACAGTAAATTGCTCGAAATCAATTGCTCGACAGTAAATTGCCCGAAATCAATTGCTCGACAGTAAATTGCCCGAAATCAATTGCTCGACAGTAAATTGCCCGAAATCAATTTACAGTCGAGTTTTTTTATCTCCATATATAGTTTTGGTTTGGGTACATATTGGCCTAGTGTAATAATTAAAAGAAAAGGCATAACCTGTTTAAGAATACAAAATACATGTTTTATATAACACAATACAATATAGAAAGATGAAAGGTGAAATTTGAAGTTTCAAGAGCCCAAATGTAAAAGTCCTGACGCGCACGCGCGTTTGAAAGAGAGATAGAATATATATACCTATGTGTATGCATGTATGTATCCAAATGTATTTGCCGTTTTTTTACAATGTGGATGAAGGAATGTATGTAGATTTGATTTCAGTTGTAGCGGCGGATTGTATAAAAAGGTGAAGAAAGAAAAGAAAAATAACACTAGGATAGTGTAGCCTTCTCAAGTCACGCAAAATCTCGCATTTCGGATTTGGTTATGTTAGGATAACCACAGCATCGAAGTCGGGAAAAAACTTATTTATCGATTTTGGTTTGGGTTGATTTTCCACCTGGTTATATGCACATTTATAAATCCGCCTCGAAAAGGACACTCTTCCTCTCCTTGATTTGCGGCCTTATATCCTGGTTTTGAAAGCTTTTTTATTGTCTGATCGAACTATGGCTTTGAGGACTATATATATATATATATATATATATATATATATATATATATTATTTTATAGATGGCGAAATTATGGTCTTCTTGTTATTATTTGCTTATTTCTTTTTTTATATCCAGGTTGTAAAAGCTTTTTAATTTTTTTGTTGAAATACGGTTTTACAGCCTGGCGATTCTGATTATCCGTCTAGTTTTAGAGCTGGGGAAATTTTGATTTTCTTTGTTTTTATTTGATTATGTCTTTATCACTGCACGCTTTCCGCCCTAGAGGACGGAATTCTTATAAAACTGTTTCTTTTGTTTTGTGTGTATGTGTGCGTGTGTCTTATGCATTATTTTTAATAGAAAAAATACGTATTTCTTTCGATTTTATTGTTCTTCCATATATAAATATAGCTGTTGTATTTTTTTATCGGTATTAAGTCCTTCGGAGATTGACAGATAGTTGTTTGATTCTGGCTGACACTCGGCAAAATTTTTAGCAGCTTTAGTTTCCGAAATTAATATATACAGGGTGTTGCAGCAAAATCCGACACTTGACAAAAAGAAAACGAAATAGGCAATAAAAACAAAAGTTGAAATATGCAGATACCCGAAAGTTTATGTAACAACAGTTAGAGTTACATACTACATTATTTTTCAATGTAACCGCTTGCGCCGGCGACGACCATCTTAAGGCGGGCGCGAAATGAGTCACACGTTTTGGTAACCATGTCCTTGTCCATAGCCGCGAACGCCTCCACAATGGAAGCCTCCAGAGAGTCGACCGTGTTGTCGGCGTGCTTGTTGGTCTTGGCCTCGATCACGCCCCAGAAGAAATAGTCAAGGGGGTTGCAATCGGATGAGGAGGGTGGACATAAGTTCGGCGACCAGTGGTGAGGAACATTGTTGAGCAGCCACGCCTGGTTCGTCTTGGCTTTGTGTGCAGGAGCGGCGTCCTGCTGGAAGACATTGGGTTGTCCGGCGGCGATCTTGTCCATCCAGGGCTTCAGCACGCTCCTCAGCACCTCCTGGTACATCTCAGCGGTGACTCTCGGGCCCTTTTGAAAAAAGAACGGAGGATGACGCCAAAGACCATGGCGGAGGAGGGAAACTTCGTATGCTTCACGATGGAACCGCTTCGATGGCTTTGCAGATCCACCTGTCGTTTTGCTTAACGTTAGTTAGTTGACAAACTGTCGGGTATCTTCGTATACAAGTTTTGCTTTTATTGCCTATTTCGTTTTCTTTTTGTCAAGTGTCGGATTTTACTGCAACACCCTGTACTTTAGTCTATCAATTGAAATCGTATTATTCGCCTCGTCAGAAATTTTAATGGCAAAGTATTTCTGATTACGGAATAATACCACAAATGAACTTGTGTGTTGTGCTCCCAGGGGTTGTCGAACTCTGTCTGTGTGTAACCAAACATATTTACAAGTGTTTAGATCTTTTGGGACGTATGAATTGGGTAAGGAATGTAGACATCCGCTGGATAGTTTGTCAGCCTCAAATTTCTCTGTTCGTTTAACTAAATTCTTTATTTTTGAATTTGTTATTCCAGGGTGTGGCAGATTATGCAGACTGTCAAATACTGCTTATCTGAGCTCTTGCGTCATCAAAGGTCGTAGAAAGGGTAATGACGCATCTCATTTAATAGTTTGATGTTCCTTTATAAGATATGGCTTCAGATGATTATGAACATGTTTAATTTCTTCATCAGTAGTTTTGTCGGTGTAGGATTCATTTTGTGAAAGTTTATTTATTTATTTATTTTTTTTGTGGAGGAAATTCTTACCGTAAATGGCGGCGTACGAGCCGAGTTTGCAGGCCTAAAATATGCGTTTATATTTAAGATTGCTATTACAATATTTTGTTAAAGTTGTTTAGCTAAATTATTTAACAGTGCAATAGGGGGACTTCCACGGGTATTTCATAGTCGTAGAACTCGTCAGTTATTCAATTATTAAGAATTACGATTCATCAGAAAATTTAAGTAGGAAAACCGTAAACTTTCCCGAGTCCGGCTAATATATGTCAACTGACTGGGAGCAAACCGTCTGCACACGGACAGAAAATGAATTGAGTAGCTATAAAAACATAGAAAGGAGCTTAAGACAAGCGCGCGTCTACTTCCTTGATTTATTCAACCAATACAGCGACGTGATCTGTAGTGGCGGTATAACTGAGTAAATAATTATAAACCCCTTACATTTATATATACAACAAAATACTTGTAAAAATGAGAAACAGCAAGACGTGGAAACAACAAAACGAGTTTTATTTATTATCTGGTTGTTATGTGGTATTAGAAAAACGAGAGATAGTAATAATTTTTCCCCCCCTTTTTTTAAGCGTTTCACCCCAAGCAAAGCGGGAAGCCACTAGCACGCAAGGGGTTACAGAGAGTTGGAGTGAGAACAAAGAGGAGTGATAGAGGAAAGGATGAAGAGAAGGATAGGGGATAGATCAGGGCATTTGGAGACGTCGATTGACATTACATTTGAATAGTTGGAGATTATAGCTATCAGGGAAACAGGAAGACGGGAGGGAGTTCCACAGGCGAGAAGTGCGAGACATGATGCTATTGGAGTGGAAGAGACGGCTGAATTCAACAGATTCGACAGTGAAAGGGTGAGAGCGAGATGCCATCCTAGTTGGACGCTTAAATTTATGAAGTCTCGGAGCAGTTACCGTGAAAGTATTTGTAAAAAAGACAGAGGGAGGCGACACCACGTCTGTGAGAGAGCGACTGCAGACGAGATGCCAAATCAGGGCCAATTACATACTGAGTAAAATTGTGAATTTGGGGTCAAATCTAGATCAAATATGTATCGGAATCCAACAGAATGCTAAGATAAAGAATAAGTAAAGTGTATACAGTTTTATTAGTATGATTTAAAAGAAAATAGATGCGTGTAATGAGTGTCCAGATAATTTAGTTAGAAAGTACCAGAAGTATCTGGGGTTATCTTACCTCGAATTTTTGTTGAGTGCTATAAGACAAATGTTACTATTATGGCCAGTAAAAGAAAAAGGAGACAAAATTATTGTTGAGGCACGTGTTGACGTCCTGTCCGTGTAAACTGCTTGTCCACTAGTGAGAATGTCACGTGTTTGTGTGTGTCGAGGAGAAAAGTGGGGTCGGTCTTCATTGGTTTAGAATGAGTGAATTAATGTTAATTATAATTATTATATAATAATTATTTTTAACACTGTAATTAATTTTTATTTTAATGGACTCGATAGACTGACAGTATAATTAATTTTTTTTATTTATGCCTTTCTTTATGGACACAACGTATCCTAAGGGAACTAAAAACCCTACAAGGATATATTATTGGTAGGCGTAATCATAACAATATAAGATACGTCGATGATACTGTGTTGATGGCCGACTCAAAAAGAAACAACAGGAAGTCTTAAACAGTGTAATAGAAGAAAGTAAGAAAAAAAAGGACTAATCATCAACTGAAAGAAGACAGATAGTATGGTCTTCAGCAAGAGAAAAAAGCCCGAGATGCAAGTTACGAATTGGAGATATAAACATTAACCATGTGCAAATGTTTAAATGTTTAGGAAGTGTTTTAACAGAGGATGGCAGATGCGACACCGAGATCTGAAAACATTGGACTTGTGAAAGAAGCCTTTTAAAAGCTAAGCAAGGACGCAACAAACAGAAAAACTTCGTTAGATACAAAGAAAAAAAAGTGTGCTTGATTGATATGTGGTATCCATCCTCTTATCTGGGAGTGAAAAGTGGACCATCTTCACACGGAGGATGAAAAAAAAAAAAAAAAATCAAGCAGCAACAGCTGCAGAAATGTGATTCTACCAGAAAGATACTGTGAAAATTCCATGGACGGAGCGAGTAAATAACAAAGAAATCTTAAAAGAAATGGCACCAGAAAGAACGTTTCTTCTCAAAACCAAGAAAGGACAGTTGAAATTACTTTGAAACCTAATGAGGAAGCGGGGGGGGGGGGTGGAAAACTTAACCCTCAGGGAGTAAGTATATTCAGAGCAGGGGAGATAGGGGTATGCAGCGAGTCACTTTCACTTAACTGACGAGCTTGTGTGAATGAATGGCAGAACGGGGAGGCAGGGGCTTTAGCAAAGAGAGAAAAACTGCTACGATCCACACTAGATAGGAAGCTGTCGAGAGTCATGGTCGGTTATGTGAAGAAGAAGAAGAAGAAGAAGAAGAAGAAGAAGAAGAAGAAGAAGAAGGATGATGATGATAATATTATTATTATTATTATTAATAATTATAATAATATTATGATCATCATCATCATCATCCTTCTTCTTCTTCTTAATAATAATAATAATAATAATAATAATAATAATAATAATAATACACACTGACAGAACAATCAAAGCCAACCGCCCAGACATTGTTATTAGAGACCACAAACAAAAAAAGTGCCTCCTTATATTGATATGGCAGTCCCTGCAGACTGCAATGTATCTTTGAAGATATACAAACAAAAAGCTGTCAAAATAAAACCTTGAAATCGAAATCTCCAAAATGTGGCACATGAGAACATCAACAATCCCTGTTGTAGTTGGAGCCCTAGGATTGGCTGGAAAAGATTCCAGTAGACTAATTGAAGGAATTCCTGGAAGCCCATGCCGCAAAGAAATACAAAAAAAAAAATGGTTCTCACAAGTACAGCCCACATTTTACGAAGGGCTTTATATATCTTTTTGTCAGTCAAAAGTGTCATGATGCCATTTCTAACCTTAGGTCTTTGGACCCGGAAAGAAATGTGTACACGCCAGAAATCAAAGGAAATAAAAACAATAATAAATAATAATATGATGTACATACAATTTGAAATACAATTATAGAAACCCAAGCCGGAATATCGAAGTAAGTTAACTTTATTTGGTTTACACCGCCGGTTATTGCTTCTTCTCTTCCTGTATAAACACGTGAAGATTCAAGCAGGTCGGTACTCATTTTATATAGAAATCTTGTTTATTTTTGACATTTCTGATGCCTGTGTTATTCTTAATTTAACTATAAATCCTTTTACTATAACCAATTGCTTCCTTGCGCGCATTTAATGAAGCTATTTTAATTGCATGGTGGAGTTTTTTGTGTTGCCTCTGACCGATTCAGGATTTCATCTATTTTTGTTATTGTTTGCTAAGAAAGACAATGTACTTTTTTCGTTTTTTCCATTTTTGACAATACTACGTTCATTGAAGTAAGTTTTACTTTGATTTATACTAAATTAAAACACGGATGTTTGTTTTTTAACACAAGGTACAAATAGAATAATTCGATTTTTGTTATGTTGGATATTTCCCCTAGCATAAATCTTATTTATTTGAACTGAAAAATATTTTTGCTTTGATTTAAAAAGAAAGAAATTGTTTGATTAGAGAGAATCTGTGAATTACATAAGTTAAAATAATTAATGCTTTACGGCATTTATCCATAACTTTTTGCTATTATTTCATTTTTTTGTGCTTTATTTCACCCAGTATAAGGCTCAAGAGCCACTCAAGGTAGAATGTTACTGAAAGATATCTGTGTTTATCTCTGAGATGAGGTATTATAATTACTTGCATTATTTACATTATTCGGACTGTTATCCACATCTTCATTGCCATATTCGCAATGTTTTGGCCGTTGTATGCTCCGGCAAATAACTGAGATATCTGGAAGAGACATGGCACGTAGAAACAGAACAATCTACTTGGTGGATGAAATAAAGAGTTTGGTTTGAAATTCCAATCATCTGAACAAAGCTGGAGTGTACAACAGCTGAAACGTTGTGAATATGGTAATGAAGAAGAGGATAACAGTTCAAATAATGTAAATAATGCAAGTTACTGAATGAGATTATAAGAATGGAGAGGATAGATAACGAATTATCCTTGACTTGATGTGGTTAAGATTGTAGTGTTTAATGAAAAAGCTTAAAAAATTCTATTTGCTGAAACATTTTGGAAAAATTCAATAATTTTTTTTTTTGGAGGTGTGGGTGGTTAAAAAATCATTATTATTATTCTTGTTTCCACATTAATAATTTTACTGGGTATGGGCTGTCTCAAGTATAAAAATTTAAATAGTTAGGAAGAGGATATGGAAAATGTGTCACTGAAATTGAAAGGTGCATTGTGATAGTGAAATTACCTTCTAAAAGTTAAGCAAAGTATTAAGAAATAGGAAAATTTTATTGCGAACAAAGAAAAGAATACTGAATTATTATGTGATATTAGTTCTCCTATGTGGCAGAAAATGCTGGACAATCTCCACAGATGAAGAAAAGACTTGAAAGAACAGAAATGCGGTTCTACAGAAAGATGCTGAGAATATTATGGACTGAACATGTGACTTTTCTATAAATACTTTCATGGCAACTGTTCAGATGAGCTCTCCTCCATGCTACCTAGACATTTTGAATTTAAATATAGACTGTGAATATGACAATAAAGATGAGGACAACAGTCCAAACAATGTAAATCGTGTAAATAGTTGCAAATCATTTTTAATATGACATTTGTATTCCTGGGATAAGCTCATTATCATCTGCGTCTTATAACACTGATTAACATCATCAGTTTCATCAATATCAACACCAACTTGTTGACCCAACTGAGGAGCATCATTTACTAAGAAATTATGATTATGCCAAATTTTGATAATTCTTTGAAAAATGAAAAAATGGGAAGTTCCCCTATCATCTGGTTCACACTCCTCCCTGTTCTTTTGAACAAGAGTAGCGGTGTATTTCTTGTTTTCAGTTTAGGATTGAGTTTTCAGTTCTCATTCTCCTTCAATCCCAGTAAGGGCTACTAGTGAAAGATTGTGTCTTAGTGGCATTAATGCCTTGCTTGGAGTGAATTGATTAAAAAAAAAATTCACTATCATTAATATGGTAAATAAGAGAAGAGTAATCCATAAGACAGAAGAATTTATAAGTCTGCCATTCAGCCATGTTTTGAATATTTCTGCCACATTTGGTCTGGTGCTCCTGCTATATATTTAGAGATTCTGGATAAAATCCAAAGAATCTGCATGTTTGGTCGTGTCCTGGTATCTCGGCTTCAGTCATCTTCCTACTACTGTAACATAGTTTCCCTGTGACTATTCTATAGATATTTTCATAGTAATTGTTCTGATGAGCTTTTCTCTTTGGTACATAGAGTTTATGAATTTAAGTGCAGTACTAGATTGGCAGTTCGGTCTCATCAATTTACAGTTGAGTTGGTTAGATGTGACTGTAAATTCTTAGCTAACAATTTCTTTTCTCATTTATGGAACTCTCTTCTGTTTCCATGCTTTCTAATCAACTTTAATCTTCAAAAATTTAAATGCAATGTCAATTGCTATCTACTGTCCTGCTGATTACTTTTCTTTTGTTCTTGGTCCTTAGTAATGTTTCTGTTTCCTCCACACTAAGTAAGACCTTATGTCTTAGTGGATTTATTGTTTTGCTTGGGGTGAACCAATAAAAAAAAAAAATCCTATTTTTCAAATAAGATGTTGTGTATTTGGATCAAAATTATGGATCAAGTGTTTGAAGTTCATGTTTTTTGTTCTATATTCAAGTATTTTTCACTGTCCCCAATCATTATCGAAAACCAGACATTCTTAGTATGGTAGACAAGATTTTTTTTTTTTACTTAAATGGCGTAGCTTAACTTAAATTCTATGCTAACAATTTCTTTTCTTGCATTTCTTGCTTGTGGAACACTTTTTGGCCTCCATATTTTCCAGTCAGCTTTAATTTTAAAAAATTTAAATGCAATGTCAGTTATCTATTATCTTCTTGATTAATCTTCTATTATTCATGCTCCTTAATAATGTTTCTCTTTTTTTCTTATTCTGTCACATCCTTCATACCTTTTCTAAAAATACTTTCACAGTAATTGTTCAGATGAACTCTTCACTATGTAATTAAATTGTTTGAATTTAAGCGCAGTACTAGATTGGTGTCGAGATCTCATCAATTTACAGTTGAGTTGGCTAGATATAGCCGTAAGTTCTAGGCTAACAGCTTTTTTCTTGCACTTCTCACTTCTCTTCGAGCTCCATGCTTTCTAGTCAACTTTAATCTTTAAAAATTTAAATGCAATGTCAGTTATTTACTAACTTCTGGATTAATCTTCTATTATTCTTGCTCCTTAATAATGTTTCTCTTTTTTTCTTATTCCTTCACACCCATTAGCTCTTTGTGTCTTAGGGGCTTTAACACTTTTCTTAGGGTGAACTCTAAATAAAATATAAATAGTTTCTTTTTGTCCTTGTTTATTAACTCTCAACTATTATTTGTCATGAATATATTTTTCTAAATCAATCTCGTTTCAGGATGGCGGCGCCTCTGGCTCGAATTTTCACTGTGGAACCTCCGTTAAGTAATGACTCCTCAATCCAAAGATGCCGCATCCCGGGTAATACTTGCCGTGCAATAGGTGCTGACTTGGGCATGTTTGTTCGAGTTACAACGCCTAACATCTGTGCCATTTGCAGTGTTTGGCCCTGCTCCGATTTAGATGATAGTGTTGTGCAGTTTAGCAATCTCGTCACACAAGATGTATACAACAATGACCACATGGTTGATGGGCGACTACAAATTGAACTGCTATCATCATTCAACGCCAGAGCAGTCGAGCTTAGCATTGTTACCCCAGATATTGACCTCCGCCAGCATCTGAAAGCTCTCCTTTCAAGTGGGGATAAACTTGAAGGATGTTGTCGGAACTGCCTGCAATTTATTGGAGTCGGGGTCAACGTAAAGGTTAACATGAAGCAGATCAAGAGGTCAGATGTATTAAAATTGTCCTCGATGATTGTACATATTACCAAGCCAGAAATATATGACGTTGTCATCGTGAACAGTGGTACGAAAATCAAAGTGCGTGATGTTATCACAGAAGATCGGTACTGGCAGCGTTTACGGCATCCAAAGAAATGCCTTGGCGGGCTGGAAGATACGGTTCAAACGCTAAAAGATTTTCTGGAACTATCCTCGTTAAGATCCCAAACCTCCTTTCAGAATCTCGCTATTCCTCGGGGCATACTTTTGCGTGGACCCCCAGGGTGTGGTAAGACTACCCTAGTTGAATATGTCGCTGGGGAATGCGATGTTGAGCTCATCAGGATTCGTGGACCAGAACTGACGTCATCAGATGTTGGTGAAAGTGAAGATAAATTGAAAAGCATATTTAATCAGGCAATCAAGATAGAGCCGCAGAGAAAGTTGCATTCTCTTTCTTGATGAGATCGATGCAATTTGCCCAAAGTCAAATTTTAATCCGTCAAACACGATGACCACCCAGCTTTTACAACTGATAGAGGAGATACCTGTTGAAAATCATTTGGTAATTATAGCTGCTACGAACAGGCCTTCAGCTGTTGACCCCAGCCTTCGACAGGGTGGACGACTTGATCGTGAGGTAGGTGAACATTACGAGTAAAAGGTGATTATGATTTATGTCATTTGTAATTTTTATTATCTGTCTATATTTCTGAGATGAGGTATTATGTACATTACTTACATTATTCGGACTATTGTCCTCATCTTTGTTGCCATATTTATTACGTTTCGGCCTTAAGGAATCAGCACATATGCTAGGCCACAAAAATCTCCTGAGCCGGCCAAGCATAGAAATGAATACAATATGGGAACCAGAAATAAGGAGTGCCAGAGAAAAGCGATAATAACAAAAATTGTAATATGAGCTCTGGTAAAAATATGCAATGATAACAGCAAAAATTGCAATATGAGCACTGGTAAAAAAATGTATGCTGAAGACATTAGGTTTATAATACCCAGAAATTCATACGCAGATGTCCTCAAGAACAGTGGATAAAGGTGTTAGTTAGATCCAGTGACAGGACCCAAAAGTGTGAGTTCAATACCCAGGTAAGGCAGTGGAGAACTTGGAGAGGGGAATTAACAGGGAATAACTGATAACTGACATCCATTAAAAAAACATGGCACGTGGAACTAGAACAGTCTACCCCAGTGAGTGAAATAAAGTTTGACATTCCAAGCACCTGAAGAAGGCCAGAGCGTACAAAGGCCGAAACGTTGTAATAAATATGGTGACAAAGATGAGGACAATAGTCCGAATAATGTAAAATGTAATTTTTATTGTCATGAAACATGATTATTAGAATCTTAAATGTGAAACTGAATTTATGCATTTTTTCAATATGTGAAAAAAAAATATTAAATTCAATTGTTTATTTAAAAGATTATTTGAGATTTACAAATTTAATTTGTGAAGTATAACAATAAATTATTTGTCTATATTTCTGAGATGAGGTATTATTTACACTACTTACATTATTCAGACTATTGTCCTCATAACAACAAAAGTTGCAATATGAGCACTGGTAAAAATATGATGCTGAAGCCATTAAGTTTATAAGTCCCAGAAATTCATACACAGATGTCATTAAGGACACATGGCCCAGTGGTTAAAGGCGTTGGTTAGATCCAATGGCAGGACCCAAAGAGTTGTGAGTTCAATACCTGGTTAAGTGGAGAACTTGGAGAGGTGAATTAACATTAGATAAATGATTGACAGCCATTAGACATGGCATGTGGAACTATAACACTCTACTCCAGTGAGTGAAGTAAATGGTTCAGTTCAACATTCCAACCACCTGAAGAAGGCCGGAGCATACAACGGCCAAAATGTTGTGATAAATATGGCATTAGTCTGAATAATGTAAATAGCATGAACAAATTATTTATTTACAAGAATATAAAAATATTTGTATAGTTCAGTTAAAGTGAAATATTTTTATAGTTTACCAAGTATAATTTTATATTTACAAGATTTTAAAAATATTTTTATAGTTTACCAAGAATGATTTTATATTTACAAGATTTTAAAAATATTTTTATCATTTTCTATAAGAATAATTTTATATTTACAGTCTTATGAAAAATATGAGAACGAACTATAATGAAATATTTATTATTTATGACATTATAAACAATGGTGTTTTTAAGGTTTCATTAAAGTCCTAAAAATGGCTTTTTAAAACAAATTAAATATCCATACGCTCTACAGTAATAATGATTGGAAGAAAAAATCATTTTGACGTACCTCTTCTTACCTTGTCTTAAGTTAAACTTTGCCAAAAAACCTTTTCTTTTTTCTTTCCTTTATTGACTTTTCAAGAATAGCATTTTTGTGCAAAATGAGATCTTTGGTTTATCAGCTTTGCATAGGAAGGTCTTGAATATGCAAAAGGGATTAAGTCCATATTGGCTTTAGTCTGTGCGACGAGATTAGAAAACATTACTTCACAATGAGATACATTGATTTTTACCAAGCTTAACTGAGTTTGACTCAAGGCCACAAATATAAGGTATCCATTTCTTTCTTCTTTTCTTTTTAACTTTGTTTCTGCCTCTCTCTTTTTTTCTTTTCAATTCTTTTTTCTCGTTTATTTTTTGTTGCCTTTTTCTTTTCCTTCTTTTTCATTTTTTAAATTCTTTTTCTATTTTCTTCTCCTTTTCTTTCCCTACACCTTCTTCTTTTTTCCTTCCTCATTTTCTACTTTTCTCACTCCAACTTTCTCCTTTTTCCTCTTTACTTTTTTCTTTTTCATCTTTTTTTCTACTCACTTTATTTTTTTCCTATTTTAGTCGAGTCTTTTACTTTTTTCTTTTTCCTCCTTACTTTTCATTTTTTTCTCTCTTTCCTTTTTTTCTTTATCATTTTACTTTACTTTTTTCTCTCTTTTTCTTTATTACACCCTTTTTCTCTTTCCTCTTTTTTTTGTCATTTTCTTCTTTTTTTTGTTGCTGCATCTTTATTTTTTCATCTTCCTATTTTCTTGGCATTTTATCTCCTTTTTTCTTTCTTTATTCTTTTCTTCTTTTTCATCTTACTTTTTCCTCTTTTTCTTTGTTTCTTTCTATTTTTGATGCTTTACCATTTTCCTTGAATCAATAGTAACCGTACTTTAATATGTATGATTTATACTTCCCTATATAATTTATACTTTGCTATATAATTTTTGGCTTGATTCCTTTTCCTTACAGGTCTTTATAAGTATGCCAACATATCTACAGAGGTTCAGTATTTTATCAGTCTATGCTCAGCAGATGCCAGTTTCTCAGGATGTACACCTTCCAGAATTGGCAGAAGTTACCACTGGATACTCAGGTGCAGATCTTCAAGCTCTCTGCAAGCAAGCTGCACATGCTGCAGTTATTGAGCGATCACAACGCATGGTGGGTGTCCATTTAAAAAAAAAACAACTTCTTTTTCTCTAATATTTGAGTAGGATCTGTCAAGAGTACATTTATTACCAAATATAAATAAATTTTATATATCTGTCTATATTTCTGAGATGAGGTATTATATACATTATTTACATTATTTGGACTATTGTCTTCATCTTTGTCACCATATTTATTACAACGTTTCGGCCTTTCAATATCTGTCTATATTTCTGAGATGAGGAATTATGTACACTATTTAAATTATTCGGACTATTGTCCTCATCTTTGTCACCATATTTATTGCAACGTTTTGGCATTGTTAGCAGTGAGTTCAATACCCAACTAAGGCAGTGGAGAACTTTCAGAGGGAAATTAACAGGAGATAACTGATAACTGACATCCATTAAACATGGAACTAGAACAGTCTGTCCCAATGAGTGAAATAAAGGGTTCAGTTCGACATTCCAACTACCTGAAGAAGGCCAGAGCACACAGCGGCTGAAATGTTGTAATAAATATGGTGATGAAGATGCGGGCAATAGTCCGAATAATGTAAATAAATTTTATATAGTTATACATTTGTAACAATTTTTTTAATTCATTATCTACTGAATAATAATAACAATGAAAAAAAAAAACTACCTCTGTCATTTCATTCTTAATGCAAGAAAAAAAGCGTATAAAATCTATAAGACTCAAAAGTTAGTATTATCAACACAGACAATACTAAATCTGTGTTCTCTTGAACATGAAAAAACATTTAACTCTCTCAGACACACAAATTATAATCACTAGCTCCAGGATTTGGTCAGCAAAAAACAAATTCATTTACTTTAAGCAGTTTAGTTAAAGCTAGAAAATATTTTTAGATAATAGAAATTTATTCAGTGATAATAATAATTTGGCCAACTTGGACCTTCATGCACACACAAAAAAATGAAGTCTCAAAAGGACAGTTTTTTTTTTCCTTGATACTACTTTTATTTTAACTACTTTCACTTCCTCGGGATGTTTATCATTTTAAAAAAAAAACAATGATTAGAATTGTAACAAACCCTAAACATAAGATGAAAGCGACTTTATACATTTTTTGATCTTGAGAATTTACAGCAAAAATAGTAAACATTATTTATTTGATTGTTTATTTACAAGAATAATTTTCTATTTACAACATTCTAAAAACTAATGCAATTAAAAACTTATCATTTACCAATTTATACAGAAATAAACATGAAAATAATTTTTTTATTCATAAATTTTTAAACATTTACTAAATTATTAAAATATGTGAACCAAATCTAAGAAAATCTTTATTATTTGACATTTTATAAAGTTTGAATATTTGCCAACCATTCCAATAAACAATCTAATAGGGTAAATAAACAATTTATTAAATAAATAGTGTTTATTATTATTTTTGCCAATTCTCAAGTACAAAGAAAATGTATAAATTCACTTTTATATGTTTATGATTTTATCAAAATTCAGTCATCACTTTTTAAAACAAATATTGCTGAGGGAGTTAAAATAATAGAGGTGTCATTTTGACACTCAATTCTTTGTGTCCATGAAGGACCAAGTTTGCCAATTATTTACTGCTGCTAGTACTAATTAACCAATAGCTGGGGTGAGAAGAGGTGGATTCATGACTTTCACAAGGGTATTTGTACATAAATATATTGAAGTTGGCTGGAATTGGAACTTGGCTCTCAAATTTCCAATTTCAAACCCTTATCCATTACACTACCCACACATCCAAGCTTACTGTATCTGGTACTCTCAGTCATCTGTCTAGGTACTAACCAGGCTTGACATTGCTTAACTTCAATGATCATATGAGAACTGGTGTTTCAATGTGATATTACTGTAAGCCTACCAAAAACATAGAACCAGCAATGCATTGGAAGCTGGGATATATAGCATAGACTGCCTGCAGTGCTATAAGAAATATATTGGTGAGACAACTAGAAATTTAAAAACCTGCATTTATGAATGCAAAAGAAACCACTGTTTGGCTAACCCATTAAATTCCTTAGTAACACATATAAATAAAACAGGCTATAATATTTATTAAAATAAATGCTACCTTATTCTCAAAAGAAACAAAAACCTATACAGGAAAAAATATGTTGAAAGAACAGTAATATTTATCCCAAGCAAGGCAATAAACCTATCATCTGGTTCTCCATCCTCCCCTGTCTTTTAAACAGGAGTAGAGATTTATCTCTTCTTTTCTGTTTATGACTGAGTTTACGGTTCCTTCTAAAGTCTTTTTTTATTCTCTTTCACTCTCAGTAGCCCCTTGCTTCTTAGTAGGATTGTCACTCTGCTTGGAGTGAATTGATTTAAATTGATGAAGATGTGATGGGTTACTGTGTATGAGAGAATATGAGAAAAAATCTCTCTTAAGGAGAGAGAACAATAAAAGAACAGGAATTAAGAAGATAACAATTGACAATGTACCTAAATTTTTGAAGGTCAAAGTTGACTGGGAAGCGAGAAGCTAGAAAAGAATTCCACAAGCGAGAAGTGCAATAGAAGAAATCGTTAGCATAGAACTTACAGTTATATCTAATCAATAAACAGAAAGCCATTAATTAGGAAATATCTCAAAGGAATATTAAAAGACCACATCCAATAAACACTCATCAGACAGAATTTTTCATGCCATCAATTTTTGTAAAAACCCGTTCTCAAAGAACCAAACACTTTCAGATGACGCAAAGATATGATTATACATTCACTTTTGACATGGATTTACAGCCATATCACATTGAAAGACCAGTTCCTGTATGATCACTGAAGTTAAGCAACACTGAGCCTGGTCAGTAGCTAGATGGGTGACCACCTAGGAATACAAAGTGCTGTAAACATAGATCTCTTTAGTGGTGTAATGGATAATGAACTGGAATCAACTGAGTTCCAATTCCAGTCGGGTTTGTTATATTTATTTATGTAACAAATACCAATGGGAAAGGTATGAATCCAACTCTTCTCACCCCAGCTATGGGTTAATCAGTAGAACTAGCATTAGTAAATCATTGGCAAACTTAAAACTTCATGCACACAAAGAACAAACCAGGTGTCAAAAGGATGGTTTTTCTCTTGATACCGCTATTATTTTAACCATATTCACTCATGTGACGATGACAAAAATTAATAAATACATACATACTAATGTCATAAAATGAAAATGTGACGTCTACCCAATCAGTAGAAGCTAAACATTATACATAATATTGAAAAAAATAAATAGATGGATTTGTTTGTCTCTTTCTTTGTGTTAGTTTGCTTAAATCTTTGTTTTTTGCCATATCTCTTCAGGATGTACATGATCATGGCTATCTACATTTTACTTTTTTAACATATGTGAATTGCTCTGACTTCTTTGGAAAGATAGCGGAGTGGTTTCCTGTTGCTATCTCCATGATTTTGAATTCAGAGTAGGCCTTCTAGACTGGGTGTCACCGAAATTTAGATTACCCAGTTTGTTCAAATGTCCTAAAATTTGTATCCTGTCAAATTTTCACATCAGTCATTATAAGGTTTTGGAACCCTTTTTTCTCATTTACAGCATTCATTTATAATTGACAGAAACTGCCTTTTCTTTAGATTCTCTTGATAACTATTTTCATTTATTCCTAAAAGTCAGAACCAGTTCCTGTGCGGAGGGAGCATTTCCTGAATTGTCTGAGAAGGATTGCACCATCCCTGACCAGAGGAGTAGATGGTTTTATGGAGGTGAGAGGCATCACATGGGATGACATTGGAGGCTTAGCGGCCACTAAAATGAAGATTCAGCAGGTAAGATGGTGTTTCCAAGATCTGTGTGGAAAGTGGGACAACAGGGCAAGAGGCTACATTTATATTATATATTATTTTATATGTTGAAATGAAGTTACCTTGAGGGAGTTGAAATTGATTCCATCAAACGTGAGAACACTAGAATTAAAAACCAGTTGCGTAACTAGACACAGAACAATTCTTGAAAACAAATGGAGCAATTCGAAAGTATTTAACGGAAAACAATAATATAAAATAAAAGTTAATGTGAATTTTGGCGAATTTACTGATAAAACAACTTATTTGGAAATTTGAAAGCTTTAATAAAAATTTGATAGAACGTCTCTGTATTATTTGACAAAACATATTTGAGAGAATTCTTGCAGCTAAAATACATTTTATTTAATTTCATAAATATGTATATAGAGAATCTGCAATGTTATCAGTCATGATCTGGCATCTCAACTTCAGTTACTTTCCCTTCACCATAACATAGCTTCCCTGTGCCTTTTCTATAAATATTTTCATGATAATTTTTCTGATGAGCTTTTCTTTTTTGTACCAAAACTTTATGAATTTAATCACAGTAATAGATAAGCATGAGAAGACATGGTGGAGTTATGTATAGCAGCTTGGATTGAGGAATCGGAGAGCCGAGTTCAAATTCCAGTTGAATCCATTACATTCACTTTCGTGCTAATACCCTTGGGAAAAGTATGAATCCTCTTCGTCTCCCTCCTGCTATAGGTAAATAGCAGGACAGACTGGGTTCTATAGCCTTGGATGGCAACTGGTCAGCCGCAGAAGGAAATGCCAACCTACTTTGGTAAAAAAATCTACCTCATCAGTCATGTATTGAAAGATACATGATTGCCTAAGCGTGTATCATGCATGGCACATAAGTGAATAGATAAGCAGAAGGTAATAAATCCACTAAGATGCAAGAAGTTACTGAATGTGAGGGAATGTGAGCAACAAAAACAAAACATTATTAATGAGATTGAACAATAAAAGAGCCAGGAATTAAAGAAACAAAAGATAGCAATTGACATTGCATTTAAATGTTTAAAGATAAAAGTTGACTGTGGATCAAGAAGCCAGAAGAGAGTTCCACAATTGAGAAGTGTGAAAGAAGAAGCAGCATAGAACTTACGGTTACGTATAGTCATTTTAACTGAAAAATGATGAGACTTTGCTGCCAATCTAGTACTGCACTTAAATTCATAAAGTCTATGTACCATAGTGAAAAGAAGGATTAGAATGAATTATTTAAAGGAAAGGCACAGGAAAGCTACATTATGGTGGTAGGAAAGTGACTGAAGCCGAGATGCCAATAAGTGAATCTTATGGGAGAGAAGAAACTGTTAGCATAGAACTTACGGTTACATCTAGCCATTTCAAGTTTAAAATGATGAGACCTTGCCACCAATCTAGTACTGCACTTAAATTCATAAAGTCAGTTTATTAAAGAGGAAAAAATATTTATAGAAAAGGCACAGAAAAGCTACGTTACTGCTGTGGGGATAGCATAGTTGGTGTAAAGAGACTGATATCAAAAGATAGACATGAATAGTTTGCAATAGATAAACATGAACAGAATGCTATCAATTGATAGACGTAAATGGAATGATATTAATGAATAATAACCGTGTGATATAATGATAGGTAGGATAGATAATTATTGATTGATAAGAGAAAGAAAAACTGATTAATTTTATTGCTTTTTTTTTTAATATTTAACAGTTGTTTACTCATGTAAAGGAAAGCTCATCAGAACAATTACCATGAAAATATTTATAGAAAAGGCACTGGGAAGTTACTTTACAACAGTAGGGAAATGACTGAAGCTGAGATGCCAGGTCAGAACCAATAACATTGCAGATTCTTCTTTCTTTTTATCCAGGATCTCTGAATACATAGCAGAAACAAGAAACCAGTTGTGAGAGCAATATTCAATGCATGGGCGAATTCTTGAAGTAATAAAAATAGTCAGATTAAAAATAAATCCTTTAATTCTTTATAAATTTGTTTGTTTATGTTTCAGATACAAAACTGAGTAGATATGATTTTTCCAGAAAAATAATCTTAGTGAAGAGATGTGCTTTCCTTAAATAGGATAAAAATAGCCTTGCTTACTGTGAAGTTCTTTGTGGCTGAGTGGTAGAGCATATTGCATCAATTGGTAGTTTCCCCTACAAAGGGGGGATACAAGGTTGATCCCAGCTGAAGGATTTGATTTTGTTTAGCAGCATATCAACTTGTCATATAAGAAGAAAATGAGTAACTACCGATACTGAGGTTCAAGCGGGACATTCTCTACTTATGAATGATATGTTTTCCACCAGGTGTATAAATAGTGGTGTCAGGCTACTGACTGGAGTGATTATTGAGTGGAACTATCCAGTTGAATTAGTGTGGATTATTGTGTGTCAAGGATTTGGGTTTTGATTTAGGATTTTCCTGGATGTTAAACTGAGCCGCGCTACTAACAAGTTATTCACTGAACTGGTTAATTATCTTTGGTTGACTTTTACTTCTTTGTTCTTGCTAAGTATTTATTTGCGGTTGTAATTAAATACTGTTTTTCATTTTAACATTGAAGTCTCGAGTTATATTTAATTATTAACAGTCACTGTATGTCACAAAACAATCTGTATGGGTTACTAAATGCCGAAATCTAAATATTTTGAACACAATTGCATGCCTTCAACTACAGATAAAATAAATTGTTGTTCATTTTGCTACAAAATTATATTGCTGGTAATTTTACTTTATAAAAATATATTACTCATATTATTACTATAAAAATGTATTTTTATATTTTCATTGAGTTTTGTTTTTGTTTGGGTGGGGGTTCACTATTTGCCAATAGCTGGGACCCTAACTGGTGCTACAAACCCAAGGAACATCAGCAATTAAGAGGTGGTTCCATGTTCCTCAAATCTTACAATCTCCCAATCAGAGGCCCTTGTTTCCAGATGGAATTTACCATCATAACCAGAACTACCTGTTGGAGGACACATTTTCTTAAATTTCTTGGAATGTGCAAAGTCAGTAGACGTAATATGCACCGTTGAATGAATGAAAATGGGGCATATATTTCAAATTAGAAGTGGTCACTATAGTAACATTTTCAATAATAATAAAAGTTATTGAAACTGTTATTTAGAATTATAAATGTTTTCTTGTACAGATTTTTAATTTTATTAGGTGAGCTGTGTCATTAAAATGCTATTTTCATTTTATTAGGTGAGCTTTGTCATTAAAATGCTATTTTCATTTTATTAGGTGAGCTGTGTTATTAAAAACGCTATTTTAATTTTATTAGGCAAGCTTTGTCATTAAAATGCTATTTTAATTTTATTAGGTGAGCTTTGTCATTAAATGTGCTATTTTAATTTTATTATGTGAGCTTTGTCATTAAAAGTGCTATTTTAATTAGAGGAGCTTTTGCATTAAAAATGCTCTTTTAATCTTATGTGAACTTTGTCAATAAAAGTGTTATTTTAATTTTATTAGTTGAGCTTTGTTATTAAAAATGTAAGTTGTAATGCATTTATTTCCGAATTCTTTATCAACATATCAGAGTTTACATAAAATACATGTTATATAAAAGTTGTTTCACTTTAAATTATAAAAATGTTCTTTAGATTTGTAAATGTTTTTATTGTGCAAATTTTTAATTTTTGTAGAGTAATTGGCCATGGTTACATGAGGTTTGCAATAAACAATAACAAGAGAAAGAAAAGAACAGGGCAAAGATAAATACCTAAGAAAAATATCCTGAGAAGGTATTGTAACTATTTACAAACAATATATCTTTATTGTCATATTCTATAGTTTCTTAGATGAGGTATTGTAACTATTTACACTATTTACATTGTTTGGACTGTTGTCCTCATCTTTATTGTCATATTCACATCTATTTCTGATTTATTGTCATATTTACATTGTTTGACAGTTATCCTCATCTCATATTTCTTAGATGAGGTATTGTAACTATTTACACTATTTACATTGTTTGGACTGTTGTCCTCATCTTTATTGTCATATTCACAGTCTATATTTCTAAGATGAGGTATTGTAACTATTTACACTATTACATTGTTTGGAACTTTATTTAGATTCTATTTTTGAGGTATTGTTTGGACTGTTGTCCTCATCTTTATTGTCATATTCACAGTCTATATTTCTAAGATGAGGTATTGTAACTATTTACACTATTTACATTGTTTGGACTGTTGTCCTCATCTTTATTGTCATATTCACAGTCTATATTTCTAAGATGAGGTATTGTAACTATTTACACTATTTACATTGTTTGGACTGTTGTCCTCATCTTTATTGTCATATTCACAGTCTATATTTCTAAGATGAGGTATTGTAACTATTTCATTGTTTGTTGTCCTCATCTTTATTGTCATATTCACAGTCTATATTTTGAGATGTTATTGTAACTATTTACACTATTTACATTGTTTGGACTGTTGTCCTCATCTTTATTGTCATATTCACAGTCTATATTTCTTAGATGAGGTATTGTAACTATTTACACTATTTACATTGTTTTGGACTGTTGTCCTCATCTTTATTGTCATTCACAGTCTATATTTTTGAGGTATTGTAACTATTTACACTATTTACAATGGATTTTCACAGTCTACATTTCTGAGATGAGGTATTGTAACTATCTACACTATTTACATTGTTTGGACTGGTCTTCTTCAGTCTATATTTCTAAGATGATATAACTATTTTATTTAATTGTTTGGACTGTTGTCCCAAACCATATTTAAATAAATAAAGTTAGAATTTCAAGCCAAACCCTAAATAAATAAAGTGTTCAGTTTGACATTCCAACATATAAACTGCAGAAGGCCAGAGCGTATGGTAGCCAAAATGTTGTGAATATGGCAATAAAGATGAGGACAACAGCCTGAATGATGTGAATAGTGCAAATACAAACCGTATATGTAAGAAAACAGTATGCAAAGCAACGGTAAGGAGGCAAAAATGTTCACAAAATGTGTTACCGCACAAAAGGGATACAGACAAGAGATCACAACATTCTAACTTTGAGACAAGAAAGAACAGAAACATAGCAGATGATATCGAGAAGTGATCTATCTTATTGGCTAGGAAGAAATCCCATCATGCATCTGGATGATTTGTCTATAAATTGTTTATTGGATGGTGTTTCTGTAGTAATTCCCTATAGGATTAGAACTAACAATTTTAGTTGGTTTGCCATTTCATTAATTATATTATTTAAGTTTGAATGAAATTTTTTATATATTTGCTTTGTATATCCTACCTATTCCTGGGTATGACAATAAACTGTATCTGGCAGCAAGGCCTCTGATCAGTAGATTGGAGGCTTTCAGGAGCATTGAACCACCTCTTAATTGCTGTTGGTCCCAGGTCCACCTTGACTTTGTGTATTAGCACCTGTTAGGGTCCTAGCTATGGGCAAATAGTGAACCCCCAAACAAAATACTATGAAAGTATAAAAATACATTTTTATAGTAAAAATATCAGGAATACATTTTTCCTATAAAAAATGACCAACAATACATATAGTAGATTGACAAACAAACATTTTTAAAGTGAAATAACAAGCAATACATTTTATCTTTAGTTGAAGGCATACAATTGCATTCAAAATATATTTAGTTGAAGCCATAAAATTATGTTCAAAATATTTAGATTTCGGCATTAAATAAACCATAGATGTTGATATGCTGCTAAACAAAATCAATCAACCAAACCAATCAAAATATTTAGATTTTGGCATTAAATAACCCATAGATGTTAATATGCTGCTAAACAAAATCAACCAAGCAAACAACATGAAAGAACTCTTTCATGACATACATTCATATATTATCCTGTAATTACTTAAAGAAATCAAATTGTATTCCATAATATAACGTAAAACACACATATCACCACCACTAGTAATCATGTCCACACAAACATGTATATTCATAAAAGCTGAGTATCATCTACCATGTATTCATTTGTGAAAGCAGAACAACACACATCCTTTCTTTATTACTTAACCCTTTGAGCCCTGCATTCCTGAAGAGTTTTAACCCTTCTGCCTGAGCTCCTGAGTCAAAATTCACGAATAATTGGTATCTAATGTTTAAGGAGTTGATATGATGTTAAACAAATCAACCAAACAACTTAATCCTACTTGTGATATCATAGGTTATAAAAATACTTCTTATATAAAAGTTGTTGTACCTTAAAGAATGAAGCTATTTAGATTTATAAATGTTTTATTGTACATATTTTTAATTTCATTAAGCTTACAATTTCATTAAAGAAATTAACTGTTCAGAACTCTTTTCTTTGTTTCAAACAAGTTTTCCTGTTTTTGCTTAGCTTTTGGAAGGCATCTTTTGCTATTCCAATATGTTTTTGAATTTTGGTACACCATTAAAACACTTCCTTAATATTTAAATTTTTATACTTGATTTTGATATCTCCAGTTCATAGTTTGCATCTTGGGCTGTTCCTTTTGTTAACAGCCATACATTTTGTCTTTATAAATGTTATATACGGTACCTATGAACACCAATCGGTATGTCCCAATCCTCATAAGTACATTGGACATTATTGTAATTGGGAGTAATATGCTGTCTAAGAAGTCCACCACTAGTTGTGGTTTACCTATTTCATGCCGCTGGTGAGTATTGTATTTTGCTGATGTTATAAAGATTACCATTTCATTTACGACCTCCATTTTGACTATTCCTCATTCAGTAACCCTTTCTAGATTACAACAATAACATTGATGATTAGTCCTTCCTTCTTGCTTTTCTTTACTATCTTCTGCAGGGGTTCTTGTAGTTTTCTTTCTGTGTCTGCTATCAGCACCATGTCATCTGCATATTTTATATTGTTAGGATTGTGGCTGTCAATAATAAATCCTGTTTGTCTTGTAATTCTCTCAGGATTGCCTGATTGTAAAGATTGAATAAGTCCAGTGGTTTGAAGCCACTATAAGTTCTGGATTATTCTTGTATCTTTCCTAAATAAATCAAGCTTCCCTAGCAGTCCAATTAGTTCTTTGTGTTGTATTCTGTCAAACCCTTTTGCATAATCTATAAAACATAGGTGTACGTCCTTTTGCATGCGTATTACTCTTTCTGATATTCCGAGCATAAATATTTCTTGTTCCAGTGTCTAAGGAAATTGTGCCGTCCTTCACAACTTCTCTCATATAGTGTCGGTTAAAAAAACAGTGCTCAGTGTCAAGCAGATAGAGCTGCTACTATAGGAAAAAATGAATTAAACATAAATAATGGTCAGTTACATGTGTGTTAAATTCTTCAAGACGTCTTTCATCTTGTTCTCCCCACCCAATTCAGATGTTTAATTTTTATCATCAGCAACAGTAGAACCGCCTCCTAATAATGAGGAATAGAATATAGATAACATGCCTTAAGTAGTACTGAAGACAATGACTAAATATATTGTTTATTATTTCTTTTCAGGCAGTTGAATGGCCAATTAAACGTAGTGCACAATTCAAGAAATTTGGCATACCTTGTCCTCGGGGTGTACTGCTGTATGGTCCTCCTGGTTGCTGTAAGACGACCCTTGTCAAAGCTGTTGCAGCCGCTACAAATACAGTATTCATAGCTGTCAGTGGGGCACACCTTTACTCTCCTTACCTTGGACACAGTGAAAATCTCCTCACAGAGGTAATATATTCAAATTCATGAAGCTTTGTTTATTTTGGATTCAAGCCATTTAATAACACACTATTATGGAGTTATCACTTTCACATATAATCCTCTCTGCTTTCATATTACAGCATTTTGGAATTTTACTAGGTTCAAATAGTGGTAATGTATGGTATATAGGTATATGGGTAAACGTTATCTTACCAGATACCTTAGTTTGAGATATAAAGCTCCCTGCTTTTTATATTTAATATTATAGAGTTTAGTTAGTTCCAAGTAGTGTTATATGGTTTCTGGGTAAACATTAGCCTACCAGATGCATCAATGTTGCATATACATTCTTGTGCAAATTAATTGAAACAACCACTTTAGTTTCCCTTCTTTCACTGTACGGTCAGTTTTGGACCCACTGGAGTGACAGGGTGTAATCAATTTATGTTTTTTCCTCAGATTAGGTCATTTGCAGTGGTGTGCAGTAATATGAATCTATTTTTGGGGTGTATAAATGCACAATATATATATATATATATATATATATATATATATATATATATATATATATATATCACTTCCTTCCCTCTTTTTCTCTCTAGGTTTTTTTCTTCTCTACCCCTTTGATATCAATATATAACTTCCGTTAACCGTTTAAATGTGTCAATATCTTCTAACTCACTCATGTCTTCTCTCTCCCCCCTCACTTTCTCACTTTGTTAATTTACATATGTTTAATACGGCCTGTCAAAAATGTGTAAATTTTCTTTTCATTTTTTGTTTGGAAGTAAAGTCTGATGATCCGCAGTCCTGTTAAAAGGGCTCTGGTGAAATAATTTATTACATGGAACCTTAAAGTGGTCTGTTTTTATTTAAATTATTTGCTCTGAATTTACATTGAACTCTCTGGATTTTATCCTCCTTAGGTTTACCCATACGGATTACCTAGTTTTTCATAAACTAAATATATATATATATATATATATATATATATATGTATATATATATAAGTATGATGAAGTGGAAAACGTTTTAGTGTGATGTGTTTTGTACTTTAGGACTTCATCGAACTAAGTTGATATTTTTGCTGATGCAACTGCACATGTGCATGAACAAGAGAAGCTTGGAATTTTAAATTTAAAAATAATAATTTTTTTTTTAAATATATGTGTTTTAGGCATATAATTTCACCAATTTCATTTCATTTCTTTTTCTTTTTGTTTGGGTTTCATTACTTTTGTTATTAAATTTCCATTGTTTATAGCAGTGCTTGGAAGGGCAGTGTGTTGAGTGTGGTCATTTCACCACACCACAGAGATTCCATCAGTGACCATGGCTTGTGCCTCAGTTTTTGGCCAAGCACATATTCCCTAGATCTTGTCCCTTAAAACCTTCTAAAAATCAAATCCTACTTGAAAGAAACAAGATTTTGAGAAATCCAAGAGAATCTGATGAGGCAGTGGCTCTCAATTCTCAAAAAGGAGTTTCAGGAAAGTTTCCATCAATGGAAATGGTGCTGGATAAAGTGTGTGGAGTCAAAAAGAGACTACTTCAAAGGGGATTAAATGCTAAATTGTATTGTAGTTTTCTTTTTATAGCATCAGTTCTGATATTTTTTGATCAGACCTTGAATATATATATATATATACACACACATATATGTTTCATTAAATAATATAGACAAGTGTTGTCTATTTATTTTATGTAAATTCTTTTCATAATGTCTGATAAGCTTAATAGCATTATCATTAAACAAAGAAAGAAAATCACAATATTGATACATATTTTTTAATCCAATCTAAGCTTTTGGCTTACATAAGCCATTATCAAAGATGACAATTACATTACAATATATTAAACAATACACGGACAAGAAAGTGATGATAGTCTGTTTCTTTTTACATGGATGATTTCCACGCAACGATAAACACGTGCATATAAGACGCTGGAAGTGAAAATCGCATTGCAGCTCATAACGTCACATATGACCATGCAAGAGTGAAAACGAGAAGTATTAAGTATAGGAGGCCTTTGGTATAAACCAATGGCTTCTGTTATCAATTATAGGCATTTAAAAATATTTGTGGAGATTTCATAGTTTATTTTATTCAGCTTAGGTTTCAACTGTTTTATGTATATAGCTTCAAGAATTTTGAGTTTTTGTTTATTGTTTTCATGTTTAAGTATAGTTGTGTTTTCCTGAATTGTGTATGCGGGCAGGCATGTTGTTTTAAATGCCTAAAAATGTTAAAGTTTTCATTCAAATGTAGTGTCAATCATCGTGAAAGCGAGTTTGTGGTGTGACCAACATAAATATTATTTAATTCGTTGGAGATACAATCTCCCAAAGGGCACTTGAATTTGTAAACTATGTTGGTTTTTTGCAAATCGCTAACCGGGGGAGAAGAATCATTGCGAATAATTGAGTTGGATAAACTAGATTTAGTGTAGTATATGATAAACTTAATTTTTTTGCTAGGATCTGTTGTAGATATATTAGTATTTACTAATCTTTTTAGTATATTGTCATCTTGTTTATAATTAGTATGCATTTGGTTACAATAAAGGAGATTAATATGTTTGAGATTAGTAGAAGCAGTATTATGTATTATTTGCTTAGTATTGAGATTTCTAAGAAAGTATCTTATTTGTTCATCAACTATATAGTTTGCAAAGCTATTATTAATAAGTGTTTGTTTTATATTCTTTAGTTCACTGTAAAAAATCTGTTTTGTGGATGAATTAGTGTCTGCACGATGTATTAGATTTTTTATAATTGCTATTTTGTAGTGATACGAGCATTCACTCTTGTAGTTAAGTGTACATGAATTTATGCTTGTAGGTTTTTTGTATGGCGAAATAGTAAATTTGTTATTATTTGTGTTTATCAATATGTCAAGGAAGGGGTTTTTATTATTATTATTGAGTTCATATGTGAATTTAAGGACAGAATTATTTTGAAACGTTTTTGAAATTGAAGTATTTCATCTGTATTTTTAACTAACATAAGAATACCATCACTGTATCTTAGGTAGATGGATGGTTTTTAAAATCTGTAAATACCTTATTTTCGAGGTTCAACATGTAGAAACTGCTAAATGTCGGACCCAGTACTGAACCCATGGAGACACCATCATGTTGTGTGTATATATATATATATATATATATATATATGTATTATTATTATTATGATCAAAGAAAGGGACTTAAGCAGTACAATTGTGTAATACTATTTATTAGCTCTGTTATAATAAATACATTGAGCTCTTTTTGTGTATCAGTTTTAATATTTTATATTACTAGGATCCGCTTGGATTATATGCGAATGGATTGTTTTTTTTTCATACTGTATGCATGTGTGTGTAAGCCTGCTTGCATGCAGGCACCCATGCACTTGTTTGTGCGTATGTGCAAAACATGTGGTTATTTGTATTTTTCATCCTTCATTTCATTTTACACTCACTCCTTAACTCTTTTTTCTTCCAGTTGTAGCCATTTTGACTTCCAGTTTTCTAGACATAAAAGATATTTACTAAATTAAAAGGTGTTCATTTTTGTGTTTTTCCTTTTTCAGTTATTTACACGTGCTCGTGCTTGTGCTCCCTCAATCCTGTTTTTAGATGAAGTTGATGCCAGCATTGGCAAACGGTCAGAAAGCTCTGTTGGTAATAGTTCTGTAAGGGACAGGTTATTGTCTACTCTGCTTAACCAGATGGATGGTATTGGAATCAAGCTGGATAATAAAATGGATGCCCCAACCAGTGACCATCCAGCCAAGCTCCTTGAAGGAGAAACATGCAACAACCAAACAGAGGTTTGTTCGTTCAATCTTTGATTAAATGTTCCTGCAGTTGACAATTGCTTTTAGTTTTTATAAGAACATAACTATCATATACCCTACTTTAGATTCTAGTTCAAGACATGGGTGATCATGGCACTCCCCAACCTCCTACCTTTTTAGTCCTTAGCAATACTTGTTTTTTTACTATACTTCTATCTCTCTGTTCTGTCTTCCATTTACACAAAGCTTACGGCCATGTAGTATTGAAATATTATTCTCTGTCTGAAGTTAAGCAACACCGAACCTGGTCTGTACCTAGATGGGTGACTGCTTGGGAATACCAGGTGCTGTAGGCTTGGATGTGCAGGTGGTGTAATGGATGATGGCTCAGAATTGTTAATTGGAGAGCTGAGTTCCAATTTCAGTTGGGTTTGTTATATTCACTTATTCGTAATTACCTTTGAGAAAGGTATGAATCCACCTTTTCTTGCCCCCATCTATGGGTTAATTAATAAGACTTGTATCACTAAAACATTATTAACTTCAAAAAAAAAAAATTCTGACAATCTAAAAATATTTCCTGGCTTTAAATAACTTGCAAATTAAATTGTTGATAAGCCATAGAAAATGAATCAATCAAAAACCATTTACACAAACTTGTTAGGTCACTTGCTGCTTTCCTTTGTCCCTCTTTTCTTTAGTATGCCCTGTGAGTGTCAAGTTTTCCAGGACTTCTTTTCTCATTATGTGTCTGAGATACTTCAACTCTCTGATTTTATATTAAAAAAATCCTTTTTCTTTTCATTTTCCTTAAAACATCCTAATTGTTTACATGCTCCAGCCATGGTATTCTAAGTATCCTTCTATATATTATATAATATTATAAGATTTCAACAACCAGAGTTCCACTGGAAATTGATTAACCAGAATGCTGACACCAGTGGGCATTTGATCCAGGGAGGGTGGGTTGATTTTGGATGATATTATATAAATATATGTAATATTATATAAAATGTAAACTATATATATATATATATATATATATATAGTGAGAAAGAGAGACATATTTCATTGAATAATTTAGACAAGTTTTGTCTACTTATTTTCAATTGGATCCTTTCATATTCATGGACAAGCTTTTTAGTGTCATTGAAGGAAGAGAGAAAATTACTGTGTTGATACATATTATTTTATTCTGAATACTTTCAGCATTAGCACAATGTAATCATCAGGGTGTTGTTCATTTCAAGACAAATATTGTACTGTTCATCATTTTCAAAGACAAAATTTTATCTGAAAGTTAAAACTTTTTTACTTGTGAAATGAAGAATGCTGTGTGATTGGCTTGAGTTATGCTTCATGGGAGGTAACTAAGTTATTTATGTACTGTATGATTTCATTATATATATATATATATATATATATATATATATATATATATATATATATATATGTGCTGTATGAATTTTTAAAATTTTTAGCATCCTTCTGTATATTATGTAATATTGTAAGATTTCAACAACTAGATTTGATTCCACAGGAGAGTGATTATCCAAAATGTTTACACATGTGGGCTTTGAGTCATAAATGAAACGTAATATATATATATATATATATATATAGGGAGTGGCCAAACATGCGGCTCTTTGACCTTTAATATGTGGATTATGGAAATATGTTAGCTGAGCTCCTTTTTTCATCACTGTTATTATAAAAGGCAAATAAGAAAAATTTAGAGCTTTAAATTTATTTACTGGGTATGAATTGGGAATTTAAATTCTAATTTTAATGCGAGATCTGAGTGAGGCATTGTTTTTTTAGTGCCAAGGGAAGAAATGGTGGGAGGCAGAGAGATTAAAGAAATTTCTGGTCAGTCAGAGTTCCAGTGGAATGTCAGAAGACTGAGGTCATGACTCAAGTCACGTACGTTAATGCAGTGTAAGACAACATGTTGAACTATGCAGATCTTTGGATGGAAGTTTTGTTTAAAAGTATCTTTGAAAATTTTGTGAGGGAAGATGGCTTCCTGAAATTGTCAAAAACGAAAATATGAAGATGAAAAGTGAAATTTTAAACCAGAGTGGGTGGAAGATTTTCTATTCACCGTTAAAGGAGGAAAACCTTTGTGTCTTATCTGTTGTGTGTAACACAGTCATTACAAAGCTAGTAACTTGAAATACTGCTATGAAACAAATCAAAAAAGCTTTTTGTCGGATTATTCACCTAAATCAAAATTAAGGAAAAACAAATTTAACTGCATTAAAATCATCACTTAATAGCCGGGCATGTGGTTTTGTAAGGTGGTATCTTATTAAATGCATAAGAAAACTCCTTGGCATTTTCTATTGGTAACAAAAAACCAATAGATTTGTGCAGAAAAGGGTTGAAAGTTTTGTGGGTCACCAGGAACATCTTTTTGCCACTGTCAAACAGAGAAAAATGTCATGGTTTGGACACATTACAAGACACGACAGCCTGTGCAAGACCATTATGCAAGACACCGTTGAAGATGGACTTAACAGAGGGTGTCAACACAAAAACTGGTTGAACATTGTCAAAAAGTGGACAGGTATGACTGTACCAGAATTGCTGATGGCTGCCATTGATAGACCTTTGTGGAAAAGAGTTAGTATGGCTTCTGCATTTGGATCCGCCCTATGATTACAAAAGTCATGGGGCTGATGATGATGATGGGGATCTGATTAAAATATCACTTTTTTTTTTTTTTTTTTTTACCAAAAATATTGCTTAAGGATGAAACAGAGCTTGATACTTTAATTCAATTTAATTTTAATAATGATATTGAAGTTTTTGGCTCTTGTTTTTGAAACATGAGAACTCTTATGTAGCAAAGGAATCATATTTTTAAAAAATAAATATAATTATAATTTAGGCTCTACTTTTGTATTGAGCACTGTTTTTTATAAATAAAAGCAGAAATACTAAAAAAACTCGGATTATTTAAGTAACATGTTTTTTCCTATTTTTCTATATATTTGCACACACACACACACATATATATATATTATAATATTTTTATTTTAAGAGATTATAATAAAAATATTTTAAATTACTACACAAAAGCTTTCATGTTTCAGTACTATGATAGTACTTCCTCAGTTGATAGAAGTTATCTACCATCGCCTGAGGAAGTACTATCATAGTACTGAAATATGAAAGCTTTTGTGTAGCAATTTAAAATGTTTTTATTATAATCTATTATAATAAAAATATTATAATAATATTTTGCTCTACTTTTTATTGATCACTTTCTTTAAAAAGTAAATGCTACGAACTGGATTTTTACTCCATTTGTTCTTTTCTTTTATTTGTGTGTGTGTGTGTATGTATATATATATATATATATATATATATATATATATATATATATATATATATAGAGAGAGAGAGAGAGAGAGATACACAGTATTAACAATGACTCAACTGAAATGTAATTTTAATTAAATAAATAAATAGACTTTTTTGGAATCAGTGCTCAATATCCTGAGGAAAACAGATACTTTTGAAGAAAAGCATCACTTGAGAGATACTCGTAGCTTGGTCAATGAATACTGAATGTTTCCATATGAGGAAATGGCTAATATTATGATTAGAGACAAAAGAGAATAGATACTACACTTTGATCCCAGACTGATTCAGGAGAGAAAAATTATCTTGTATAATACAGTGAACTGACTTTCTTACCAGCAGAACTAGCAATGGATTCTCTATAACCTTTCCACTTCATGTCAGCTGAGAATGTAAGGTTGAGAAGGCATAATGAGTCACACTGATGGAGGCTAGTATCAGCCATGATTATGGAATGCAGTAAGAGGTCTTTCAGGTGATTCCTTATAAGGAAACAGCTAATATTACCATTATGATTGGAGAGAATGAGAACAGATACTACATTTTGATCCCAGTCTGATAACCAGAGAGCAAAGAAAAACATAACTTGAGTTGCACTGGCTGCTTGGCCAGTGAATACAGAATGTTTCCTTATAAAGAAACAGTTAATATTACCATCATGATTTTTGCCTTTTGTGACTTATATTTGATATTAAATAACCCAACATGTTTTTTGTTTTTTTAGATGCCTGCAGCAAGAAATGCTCGAGAAAATTATAATCCCAGTGCCCACCAAGTGATTGTTGTTGCTGCTACCAACAGACCAGACCTGCTGGACGAAGCCTTGCTCAGGCCTGGACGTTTTGATAGACTCATATATGTTCCTCCACCAGATGAAGCTGTGAGTTTAAAGTTGTCTCGTTCCTTGTGTTGTTTGTCCTGGGTATGACTGATGTAATGAATATGCATACACCTGGGTTCCCCCTCACAGTAATATGATTGGCTAGTGTCAGCCATAAATACAAACTGATGTGGAGGTACATGACAACGCCTATTGGCTATGCCTATAGTCTTCACCTATTGCTTACCACTACGACGAGGACCAGTCCATTATGGTTACCTGCTAGATTGTCCTTTCCTCTGTTACAGTAGTCCAAGACCACGTTGCTACTTCGAACAAATATATCCCTTTCCAGGACATATCAATGACAATAAGGTCTTTGATTGGGAGATTGGAGTTTTTGAGGAGTGTGGAACCACTTCTTAACTGCTGTTGTTTCCAGGTTCACTTTAACTTGAAGTGGTAGCACCTGTTAGGGTCCCAGCTATGGGCAAATGGTGAACCTCCAAGCAAAAATCAACAGTACATTTTTATAGTAAAAATACCAACAGTATATTTTATGATCTACAAGCTGTATATCTAAAAATATACCTTTACTCTGAAAGCATAAAATTATGTACAAAATATTTAGATTTTGGTATTACATAGTCCGTAGAGCTTTATATGCCATTAAACACAATCAACCAATCAACATGAAAGAACTCTTTCATGACATTTGTCCATAGAATATCCTGCAATTTCTTAAAGAAATCGAACTATATTCCAAAATATAACTTCAACAAAACTACAACACAAAACACACATATCACTGCCTCTAATAATCATATCTACAAAAAATAATCTATATGCACAAAAGCTGAGTATCATCTACCATGTATTCAATTGTGTAAACAGAATAACATATCTAATATTTCTATTATTTCAAACCTCCGAAGAAAATTAAATTTCGATATTAAATGACCCATAAGGCGTTGATATGCTATTGCACAAAAAATCAGTCAAGCAGTACAGCATGCCATTTTCAAGTTTCTGGTGGAGTGAATTGCATCATGGTGCTCTTTCTCTCCCAGACGCTGCCCAACTGACCCAACTATACTGTGCAGTTGATAAAATCAACAAACAACGTGCATATGTGAAATTAAAAATATAAGGTGGCAACAATTTACCCATCGCACCTATATATATATATATATATATATATATATATATATATATATATATATGCAGTTTGTGTGCAGCTTATATTTTATATCATAAAAGAAACAATTTATACAGAGAATTAAATAGCAAAATCACTTTGCTAACAAGACTTAATGAGACATTAACTTCTTGATAAGATCCTTATATTCAGGTTGTTGTCATATAGAAGACACATGCCAAGTAGTTTCAACAATTTCAAATTGTCATCTTCATCATACACTCCAAAACATATATTCAACTGTCAATAAATAGCATAATTTAAAAAAAATACATCTTTTGGTCTACACATATTTCGTCTTAGTGTTTGCCTGTGTATCGGAAAATTGCGCCTTGAAGATGACAATTTGAAATTGAAACTTTATATATTTTTGGACGTGTTTGGCACCGTGCATGGTATCCATATAAAAGTCTTGATCTGACAAGGTTTTTTAAGAACATAACTCAAGTTTTCAGGTTGATGTTTTAGTTTTGTAGCAATTGGCGGTGTTGGGCAAAACTACCTTTAGCGCAGATTATTCTATGTTAATTTCTGTTTCTCTTATACTTAATTTGTTAAAACTAATCCATACTATTAGAACAATTTTTTAGAAAAATAAGTTTTTATAAGAAAAGTAGCTGTTATCACTTCTTCCTGTACTGATGGGGGTTTCCTTCCTAACTTTTGATTTAAAGTAGTGTCGAATGTCATCATCTTGATTATGTCATTATTTTCTCTTTGCGTTACTTTTTGAGTTAAGTTCATGTCTACTTATCTCTCAGTTGTGTCTCTGTCCTTGGACAGAGTGCTCTCAGGGGCTTCTCTGTTAAAGGACAGAGGGGTAACTGAGAAAATTATACTGAGAGGTGCCCAGCCCTGGGGAACAGCTGCCCGAGGGAGGGATTGGTGCTTGCACCGAGGCCAGCACAACCGACGGTTGCGGGGGCTGAGGGGAATTTTTGTTCCTGTCCTGGGTGTACAAGCTTTGGTCCCCACCTAAAAATAGACCTTGTGTCACATCTTGTCCTAGTAGGGGGGGGGGGACAGAGTAAATACTGCGTTACATGTGATATCCATTTTAGTTGTTTCTAGTCCTCAAGTGTTGTGGTTTCTGTTATTTGGCACAGTTCTTTGTTTGTGATTCTGTACTGCCAATCCAGTAGGTTTGAAGAAATCAAATTTTATATATTTACTGGTTATGCAACCTCATCTCCTCTACTTACAAATATTATTGTTATGGTAACAAGACACTTGATGACAGTAAGTGAATATGTGTTATGCTACCATAACAATGGAATACTTATTTATAGCTAACATTTTATTTTTTGCTGTCCAAGTAAACTTACTCCTGGTTATGATGATAAACTACATTTGGCGGCAAGAGTGGGAGACTGGAGCTTTTGAGGAGCAATATTGCTGTTGTTCCCAGGTCCACTCTGACCTTGGGTGGTAGCACCTGTTAGGGTCCCAGCTATGAGTAAATAGTAACCCCCTCCACCAAAAAAGAAAAAAATCAAACCATTAGGAAAATATAAAAAATGCATATTTATATATAAAAAAAAAATTAGCAACAATATCTATTTATAGTAAAATGACTAGGAATAGATTAGATTTTATCTGTAGTTGGAGGCCTACAGTTGCATTCAAAATATATCTAGTTGAAACCATAAAACTGTGTCCAAAAAATTTAGATTTCGGCATTAAATAACCCATAGAGGTGTTGATATGCCACTAAACAAAACTAACCAATCAAAAAATAAACTAGTGGCTGGATAATTACTTTATTTTTTTAAAAAAAGCTGAATCCTTTGTTACACTAATAGAATTATTTACTTTATTCAGACTATTGTCCTCATCTTTGTCGCCATATTTATTACAATGTTTCAGCTGTTGTATGCTCTAGCCTTCTTCAGGTGGTTGGAACTGAACCCTTTATTTTGCTCACCGAGGTAGACTGTTCTAGTTCCACATGCCATGTTTAATGGATATCAGTTATCTCCTGTTAATTCCCCTCTCCAAGTTCTCCACCGCCTTAACCGGGTATTGAACTCACACTCTTTGGGTCCTGTCACTAGATCTAACTAACACCTTTATCCACTGTGCCATTTGTTCTTGACAGATAGCAATAGAATTATTTCTCATGCCAAAAATATAATCAATACATTTGCAAAATGACTTGACTCACTTTTTAGGTTGTATGAACTTTCTTTAGATATATACATTTTCAGGGATTTAAAAAGCAAAATTCTTTCTTATTTTTCGCAAAAGTGTTAATTGTATAGGAAACAAAATTGAGATTACACCTACAAAAAATATAACCGATTCTATTACAGAATGGCTTAAATTTGTCCGATATTTTGGGGCAGTACAGTTGAGAAGTGATTAAAGAATTACTTTTAATGATTTAAAGAAACAATTCTTTCTTACAAGTGGCAGTAGAGTTAATTGTATCAATAAAATACTTAAATAACTCCTGCAAAAAATATAACCAATTCAATTTCAAAATCATTTAAATATGGCTGTCATCTTTGTTAATCTCCAGGTAAACGAGTAAATACATTTTAAAATGAAATGACGTTTTTGAAAATTTTACACTGAATTATGTTCTGTTTAATGTTTCAGAAATTTGATTTCTTTTCATAATTTTTCTTTGCCTTTTTTATTTTTAAGTCTCGCCTGGCAATTCTGCAAGTGTATACAAAGAAAATGCCTGTGATGGATGTTGACTTGACTGCTCTCGCCAAGCAAATGGTTTTCTTCAGTGGAGCTGATATTTACAATGTTTGTCAAGAGGTAAAGATAAAATGCTTTTGTCTATTTTGGAAATTCTATGAATTGTCTAACTATAATATATAATTGTTGTTTGAAGTAAAAACAATGAAATATACAGGGTGATTGAAAAGTAACTCCCTATTTTATGTATGAGTGGCCAGCCAGGAGTCCTAACTTAACACTTTTGTGACTTTTTTCTTTGGAATTGGTTAAAGGAGCAAACCAACACTTTGGAAGAAGTTGAAGAGTGAATACAAGAAATAATGTCTTCCAAGAAGAGTTTCTGGTGAAATCAGTTGATGTGATTCCTGGGTGGCTTGAGTAAGTTGGTAATGAAATCTGGTGGCCATATCAAATTTTAAATAAAACCTCACGCTAAACACTTTCTTTTCATATCCATTTCTTGTAAAAATTATAGTTAATAATTAAATCATAAGTATTTTAAAATGGGAAGTTACTTTTCAATCATCCTGTGCTATTTTGCCAAGATAATTATTCAATGTATGTTGGATCAAAAAAATTCATTACTTGCTTAAAATATTACTCTGTGAAAATAAACTGAGCAGATAGCAGCTTGAAAAGATCTGAGTGAGAGATAAACATTTGTTATCATATAATTGCATCATAAATAATGAACTATTTCAGTTTTATCATGTGGGAAGAGTAAAGACATACAAGAGATGCTACTTGGGTTCAGTTAAAAAAAAAAAAAAAAAGAAAGAAAGAAAGAAAGATAGAAGTGTTTAATATCTCTTGCTAATACTTCATAAATAATGGACTTTTCCCTTTTGATCATGTGTGAAGACACAAGACATCAAAGACACTATTTGGTTTCAGTAAGAAAATGAACGACAGAAGAGATGACAGAAGTGTTAAACGTTTGTTTCAGTGAAATGGAAAAAGTCGTCAATTTTAAATCTTTTCATTTATATCCTCTTACTTCTTAAAATAATGACCAGCATTCATATTTATGAATTTTATTGCAATATTTTGTTAAAGTTGTTGAGCTCAAATATTTAACAATGTGATAGGTGAATTTCTATGGATATTTAATTGTCATGGAACTCACCATGAGCTTATTCAATCATTAACTGAAAAATAAGGATTCATCAGAAATTTCAAATAGAAAAACCCATAAAATTGTTAAGTCACACTTGATTATTTTTTATGGCTTATCAGCCCTTTACAGGTTATTTAAAGCCAGAAAATATTTTTAGATTGTAGGAATGTTTTGGGGGGATAATAATGATTTAGTGATGCAAGTCTTAATTAACCCATAGCTCTGGGGAGAAGAGGTGGATTCATTCTTTTTCCCAAGGGTATTTGCACTTAAGTGAATATAATGAACCCAGCAGGAATTGGAAATTTGCTCTCCAATTAAAAATTCCCACCCATTATCCAATTACTCCACCTGCATATCCAACCTTACAGCACCTGGTATTTCCAAGTGGTCACCCATCTAGGAAATGACCAGGCTTGATGTTGTTTAACTTTAGTGATCCTACAGGAACCAGTGTTTCAACATGATCTTGCTGTGAGCCAAGTCACACATGGTTTAAAAGTATGTGCTTTGCTGTGACATCTCTCGGGGCTGAGTGGTTAAATATGCTCGGCTTAAAGGTAATACAGGTATGATTTTCTCTTGAGAACCACATTTTTTTTAATAAGACTTTCACTTCCCTAGGCCAGTAGATATCAATTTCCCTGTTTAAAATAAATCATGTGTCATCACTAAATATAGTATTTAAAGTATTAAGAAATAGTACTTTTTATTTGACATTAGTCAAGTAAAAAGTGCTATTTGATTTGATTTTGACTCAAACAAAAGATTGATGTGGTAACATTATTTTTTAAGCATATCACCCCAAGCAAGGTGGGAGTGCCACTAGCATGCAAGGGGTTACAGAGATTGAGAGCGAGTATAAAGAAGGGTTGTTTAAGGAAAGGATAAAGAGAAGGACGGGGGTTGTGATCAAGGCATCAAAAGATGTCAAATGGCATTACATTTGAATATTTGAAGATTATAGCTATCAGGGTAAGTAAGAGGAGCGGAGTTCCCATCTCTGTCCCATAATAACTGTTCCATTTATGTACACATTTTATAGACGAAATAGAACAATCATTATGGGACAGAGGTAGAATAATATAGAAGAATGGCTACTTTAATAATCAGATTAAATTGAAAGAAGAGAGAAACGTTTGACCCTCACTGTCCCATAATTTTTGTTCCATTTATGTACACATTTCATAGACTAAATGGAACAATCATTATGGGACAGAGGTAGAATGATATAGAAGAATGGCTACTTTCATAATCAGATTAAATTGAAAGGAAACATTTTTTTAAGCATTTCACCCCAAGCAATGCAGGAGTGCCACTAGTATGCAAGGGGGTTACAGAGAGTGAGAGCAACAGTAAAGAGGGGGTGTTTGATGAAAGAATAAAGAGAAGGACAGGGATTAAGATGTCCATTGACATTACATTTGAATATCTGAAGATTATCGCTGTCAGGGAAGCAAGTAAGAGGAAGGGAGTTCCACTGTCAGGAAGTGCAAGAGAAGAAGCTGTAGGAGTAGAAGAGATGGCTGCATTTAACCATTTTGACAGTAAAAGTGTGAGACCAAGATGCCAACCTATGAATGCAGAAATTAACCTGTTTTTTTTTTCAAATTTCACAGGTAGAAAATAACAGCTCAGTTTAGTAATATTAAATTAAATTATTGCCAATGTAAATTATACTTTCACTGTCATAAAAAATATGGACACAAAATTATGGTCCAGTTTATGCCTCAGACGTACGTTGTAAATTGGGCAACCATTTAAGCCACCTGTCACTTCCATTTAATTTTTCTGAAGAAGGAAAAGATTTCCAAATATGGCAAAGAATATCAAGCCATATGGGGGAAAAATACGTAAGTTTATTAAACAGTATCTCAACTCTCCTCCCCAAATAAAAAAAGAAATATATTTTTATTTTATATTTATTTATTCCTTTCTTATGTGCCATATCCCTGCAGTATGTAGGCGATCATGCCTCTCCACATCTTCCTGTCTTTTGTAGCTCGTATTAATGCTTGTCCTCTTACATTTTTTGTTCTACCATCCATTTATACAAGCTTATTGGGAGCTTATTCACCTCCCTTGCTTTGAATATGCATTGTCAGGATCATATTGCTCAAGTTCTCTTTCCTCATTATGTGTCTGAAAACCTGTCTCTTTCTGAATGTAAGTGTAAGTGTCTTTTTATTTCCATTTTTCTTTTAAACCTCCTTGTTGTTCACATGCTCCATCCATGGTGTTCTCAGCATTCTTTTATCAGAGACCTCTCTGTGAGGTCAAGTCTTGTCTTCATCTGTAAAGAAATTGTTCAGCTTTCACTGATATTATGTTGTAGTTCAGTACTCTTTTCATGTATTCAGTGTCAAAAAAAAATAAAAAAACAGCATTAAAACAAAATATTAAAACCTAGACAATTCAGTTTTCTGTTTAAGTCTTATTATGTACAAAGAGAAATTTTATTTTTAATTTGTTTTAATTTTTCTTTAAATTACCCCAATAATAGTAGATTATTTTTATGAACAAAACCTAAAAAAAATAAATACTTCAGAAATTAAAAAATTACTATATTTTACTGCTTATAAGACATTCTAATTCATTAAATGCCTCCTGTCAATATTTTGAAGGAAGAAATCAGAAAAATGTTTTTATCTTTGTACTTCATAACTCTCCCCACTATACCCAAGTTTACCTAATCAATAGCATATTTCTTCATGAAAACCTGACTAATCATAATAAATTCATCGCAGACCCAGAAGAAGTACCAAATTTATGGTAACTATTTAGAATATAATAATTAGAAGAGAAATTAGAGTGAATAATACGACTGAAACGTTAGATTATTACAGCCTAGAATCCTTACTAATCATGACGAATTTCTCATTAATATGAATGGAGAACTGATTTAAAATTAGAGACATGTTAATTTGGATTCAGAAATAAGCATAAGTTTCATTTATCTAAAAGCATAAAACATACGAAAGTACTTACTGTACTGTTAAATGCTTATACTGATATTATAGCTTGAAATACTCATTAACGGTAATCTTGAAAAGTTTATCCCAACTTCTTAACTTCTCTGAAAATATTTTTAATTTAATTTTGAAACACTGAACTTGTTTTACTTTCAAAGGATCAGAATGAAATGTAACTGGGGAGCTGTCACTCACTCCCCACCCCCAAAATTATAAATCTTATCATTGACCTTCGATTTATAAGATGTACGGTAATTTTTGGAGATATTTTATGAGGAGAAAATGTGTCTTATTAGCAGCAAAATACGGTATTTACACATGACAAAAAAAAGACTGAAAATTTTGATAAACTTAGCAAATGCATTGATTGTATTTTGTGCAATGATTAATCTAAGACTTTTACCAATAAAAATGAAATATATTGACATCAATCACTTTCCTACCACCATAATGTGCTTTTCCTTTAAATAATTCATTCTTTTCACTATGGTACATAGACTTTATAAACTATCCCTAATTTTACCTAATCAAAGAGCTTTTATTTTTAATTTATTTTACTTTTTCTTTAAATTACCCCAATAAATGTACATTATTTTTATGAACAAAGCCTAAAAAAAATAAATTCTTCAGAAATGAAAAAAATTACTATATTGTACTGCTTATAAGACATTCTAATTCATTAGATGCCTTATTTTGAAACTCTCAAAAGGATGTTTCTTCAATCACTGTAATAGTAATATGTTCAAGTTTTGAGTTAATTGTTAGTTTCCACTCCTAGCCATATAAACTACCCCTTAATTAGTTATTTCCAAGAACTGTTAAGTTGGGCCAGATATAAGACACATTATGGTAGATTTAAATAAGAAGACTACATTAATGTGATTTAACAGTTTTGCATAATCTTTTGTCCGCATATACAGACGACCAACTTTACTGAATTATTTTTCAGGGATTTAATAGATTACGTAAAGCTTTATCTAAAAATGTTTTATTTATTATAGATTTAACCTGTTGATTGAGCATTGATTTAAAAACATTAAAATGTCTTCTTTGACTCTGAAACTTAATATTTATGGCTTATTTATAATCTTCTTTTATGTGCCATGTCCCTTCAGGACGTGGGCGATTATGACTCTCCACAACTTCCTGTCTTGTTTCTGTAAGTAACTTTTGACTTTTTACTATCCCTCTCTGCCCCTATTGTATCATCCATTTGCTGCTGCTGCTTCTTTTATATATCATGTCCTGAAAAGGCATGGGCGATTATGGTCCTCCACAACTTCCTGTTTTTGTTGCTCTAATTAAACTTTGTCCTTTTACCATCCGTCTCTGTCTCTTTTCTGCTATCCATTTGCTTCTCCTCCTTTTATGTGCCCTGTCTGTTTAAGACATGATTGATTATGACCCTCCATATCTTCCTCTCTTTTGCTGTTCTAAGTAACTTCTGACTCTTTATCATCCTTCTTTATCACTGCTCTGCCATTCATTTGCTTCTCCTTCTTTGTATGTGCCCTGTCCTTTCAGGACGCAAGCAATAACGGTCCTCCACAACTTCCTATCTTCTGCTGCTCTAAATAACATTTCAACATTTACGATCCTTTCTTCTTGTTCCACCAACCCTTTACATAAACTCATCTAGTAGGTTACATGTTGATTCCCCCAGCTTCTCTTAAGGTAAATATATCCTTTTGAGTATTAAATTCTCTAGGTATTCCTTCCTCAATATATGTCCTAGAAATTTCAATTGTTCTTTATAGTAAGTGTCAGTTTCCTTGTTAGTACCAAGCAAACTATTGGACTCTCCTCAAAGTTTCACATTTACTGTTAGATGACATAAAGAGGATTTCATTTAAAGTAAATTTAAACAAATCATTTTAATTGCATTTTTTTTTAATCATTTCACTACAGGCAAGGTAATAAAGCCACTAAGACACAATGGATTTACTGAGTATGAGAGAATATGAGAAAAAGAAATCATTATTAAAGAAAGAGAACAATGAAAGAAGAGGAATTAAGAAGGCAGAAGATAAAGATTGACATTGCAATTAATTTTTTGAACATCCAAATTGACTGAGAAGCTGAAATTTGGAAGATAGTTCCACAAGTGAGAAGTGCCTGAGAAGAAACTGTTAGCATAGAACTTACGGTTACATCTAGCCATTTCAAGTGTAAAATGATGAGACCTTGTCACCAATCTAGTACTGCACTTAAATTCATAAAGTCTATGTACCATAGTGAAAAGAAGAATTAGCATGAAATTATTTAAAGGAAAGGCAAAGGAAAGCTACATTATGGTGGTAGGAAAGTGACTGAAGCCGAGATGCCAATAAGTGAATCTTATGTGAGAGAACAAACTGTTAGCATAGAACTTACGGTTACATCTAGCCATTTCAAGTGTAAAATGATGAGACCTTGCCACCAATCTAGTACTGCACTTAAATTCATAAAGTCTATGTACCATAGTGAAAAGAAGAATTAGCATGAAATTATTTAAAGGAAAGGCAAAGGAAAGCTACATTATGGTGGTAGGAAAGTGACTGAAGCCGAGATGCCAATAAGTGAATCTTATGTGAGAGAACAAACTGTTAGCATAGAACTTACGGTTACATCTAGCCATTTCAAGTGTAAAATGATGAGACCTTGCCACCAATCTAGTACTGCACTTAAATTCATAAAGTCTATGTACCATAGTGAAAAGAAGAATTAGCATGAAATTATTTAAAGGAAAGGCAAAGGAAAGCTACATTATGGTGGTAGGAAAGTGACTGAAGCCGAGATGCCAATAAGTGAATCTTATGTGAGAGAACAAACTGTTAGCATAGAACTTACGGTTACATCTAGCCATTTCAAGTGTAAAATGATGAGACCTTGCCACCAATCTAGTACTGCACTTAAATTCATAAAGTCTATGTACCATAGTGAAAAGAAGAATTAGCATGAAATTATTTAAAGGCAAAAGCTACATTATGGTGTGGTAGGAAAGTACATTATGAGATCAATAAAGGGAATCTTAGTGAGAGAACAAACTGTTAGCATGAACCACGGTTACATCTAGAATCTTATGGGATGAGACCTTGCCACCAATCTAGTACTGTTAGTATAGTCTATGTACCATTACGGTTACAATTAGCATGAAATTATTTAAAGGAAAGGCAAACTACATTATAAAATAGGAAATGAGATGCCAATAAGTGAATCTTATGGGAGAGAAGAAACTGTTAGTAGAACTGCATGGTTACATCTAATTTCATAAAAATGAGACCTTTCTGCCAATCTAGTACTGCACTTAAATTCATAAAGTCTGTGTACCATAGTGAAAAAGAAGAATTAGAATGAAATTATTTAAAGGAAAGGCAAAGGAAAGCTACATTATGGTGGTAGGAAAGTGACTGAAGCCGAGATGCCAATAAGTGAATCTTATGCGAGAGAAGAAACTGTTAGCATATAACTTACGGTTACATCTAGCCATTTCAAGTGTAAAATGATGAGACCTTTCTGCCAATCTAGTACTGCACTTAAATTCATAAAGTCTATGTACCATAGTGAAAAGAAGAATTAGGATGAAATTATTTAACAGTCTCTTTTGTCACACTTCTTGCTTGTGGGACTCTCTTCCAGTATTTTGCTTTCCAACCGACTTTAATCTTCAAGAATTTAAATGCAATGTCAATCACTATCTACTGTCCTCCTGTTGTACTTGCTGGTGTTTCATTTTTCTAATTCTTCCACACCCAGTAACCTCTTATGTCTCAGTGGCTTTAATGCCTTCCTTGGAGTGAACTGGATAAAAAAAAGAAAAAAAAGGATCAATATAATCATTTCACTACATCAAAAATGATTATATTTTCTTAAGTTTTTAACATGCAAATTTATTTTTCTGAATATTATATTAATATATAGTAATTTCAGGGGATCAGTTTATTAATTAATAACAATAAAAAATCAAACCCTCATTTTATGTTCACTAAACTCTTATGATAATATTACTCTACATATGTCATAAAAAAGGAGGACATATTATTAAGTGTTTATTATTATGACAAGGTTTATAAATGTGAGTTTTTAAATATAATTTTCCAATTATTATATTAATATGTAGTAATTATGAGGGATCAGTTTATTACTTAATAACAGCATAAAACCGATCCTCAAGTTTATGTCCACAAGCATCTTCTCTTAATACTAGTTTACTGATGCTATAAAAAAACATGACGTTTTCTTAAGTTTTTATTAATATTAGAAGGTTTTTGTATCTTGAAATATGTTTTTTCAATATTAACATGCATTAAGCATCAGTTTATTACTTAGTAACAATAAAAACCGACCGCTTACTTTGTGTCCATAGTATATTTTATTCATAAAGCAATTAAAAGCTTTGCTAATTAAATAATATTCTAGTTCTGTTACATTTTTTATTTTACGATTCAGAGTAGATTTTCTGTAACTGGGGCTCTATTTGACTGAAAAAATTGATGATTCAAATTCCCCGAAGACTTGTCCTAACAATTAATATAAACATTGAGCAATATAAAAAAGAATTTCTCAAAATTTCATGAAATTAAATGAATGCTGAGTAACAGATTGTGAAATAAAAAATATTTTTTTACTAAGATTTTTTAAAAAAAGAAACATTCCAAAAATAATTTCATTTCTTTGTGAATAAGTTATGAAAAATTTATTAAAATCCAATAATTATCCGATTTTAGCAAAATTTTTCAAATCAGTGTGTTTTTTGCCACAAAAACGTGCTCAAATTTCCTGTACAAATTTATGACTCCATTTTGACACCAAAAAATATTTTTATTCAAAATTTACAAGGTTCTAAGAAGGATAATATATATATATATAGCATAATGAGAAGCCACGTATACTTTCTTAATATGTATATATAGAAAAAGTTGCAAATTAAAAAAATAATAATGTTTTTTATGAAAGTATTTATTTATATATATATATATATATATATATATATATATATATATATATTTATCTTTTCTTTTTCTTTCTTAAAAGTAAAAAGCACAAATATTTTGACGATAAAATTTTGTTTTTATTAGGTTGTGTGCATTTTTTTCATAATGTATTCTTTTCTTTAGCGAATCTTTGGAGGTACCTACATAAAAATTATGACATTTTTTAAACTAATGTTATAAAGAAGCTTTATCACCATTGCAAGGGAGCTAACTCTAGTGCAATCAAAATGTGACAGACCTTACAGACAAAACGACCACTCGATAGTAAGATATAAATTTGTCTATTTTTCCATTTTATTTTCCAGGCGGCTTTACATGCCCTCACTCTCGAGGGGATGCTGACCCAGACAGTTACCACACAGCACTTCCAACATGTTCTGGCCAAATACACTCCTTCCTTGACCAAAGATATCATCGAGAAATACGAGAAAATCTATGCAAGATTTCATTGCTCTTCTCTCAGTCAAAAATAAAACGCATTTTTATAACGTCTATGCATAGACTTTCAAATTAGTTGAAGAGTTTTCGTTTTTATTATATTTTTATTTAAAAAAAATCACCTCTGTCTTGTAGTGATTTTATCTATGAACATAGCAAGACACACAATTTGTTTATTTTGTATACATAATGAAACAGAAAATTATAATAGCTTTTCTCTAAGTAATGTTTATCTTAATTCCTGACCACTGACTATAATTTCTGATTTTTAGTCATTTTTATATAGTAAAAACCCTTAGCAGTTCATTTGCATTTAGCATTTTATCACTTGCCTTAATTCTTGGCCATTGACTATCGCTTTCTGTTTGAATTTCAGTGCACTGTCTATAGTAAATCCTTAGAAATGTATTTTTACATTAAACATTCTGTTAGTAACACATGCTTTAAATCCTGAACACTGACTAACCCTTTCCTCCTGATTTTCAATGCTTTTTATAGTAAAATCCATGTCAATTCATTTAAATTAAGCATACTCGCAAACTTGGACCTTTTCTGAAAAAAAATAGTGTCAAAAGAACAGTTTTTCCCTTGACACTACTATTATTTTAACTACCTTCACTCCTCGGCAATGTTTATTGTTTTAAAAAGCAATGATTAGAATTGTAATAAAAATTAAATATATGATGAAAGTGAATTTATACTTTTTTGGGGTGTTTTCAGAATTTACAATAAGAATATTAAACTATTTATTTATTAGATTGTTTATTTACAAGAATAATTTTATATTTACAACATTTTAAAAGCTAATAATTTTACATTTACAATTTTCTAAAATACAATACAGTTGTATTAAAACTAATGCAATGCAATATCATTTACTAATTTATAAAGAAAATAAATAGAAAAAATTTTTTATTCATAAATTTATAAATATTTACTAAATTATAAAATTATTAAATTATTATTATAAATTTATTATAAATTTATTTATATATTTTTGCATTTATTTATAAATTTATTATAAATTATATTTATTATTAATTATAAAAAAATTTATAAATATTTTTTAAATTATTAAAAATATGTTAACTAACTATAAGGAAATCCTTATTATTTACTATTTTATAAAGTGTTTATAATTTTTTTTGAAATCTCTCAAGAACAGAAAAATATATAAATTCACTTTCATCATATGTTTAGGTTTTATTACAATTCTAATCATCATTTTTTAAAATAATAATCATTGCCGAGGCGTAATATTGGTGTCAATGGAAAGAACCATCCTTTTGATTGTTATATAGAAATAAAATGTTGCTGCTGATACTGGAGTTTGAACACAGATCACCAGAGAACAAACACAGTTGATATTCCAAGCACATTGTTTGGTTTTGGTGTTATTCTGTAAACACTCAGCTGTGTGTTTATAGAATAACACCATGTCTGGAATAACGCTTGTCTTTGCTCTCTGGTGATATGTGTATATAACCAATTAAAAAAGAAAAGATTGGTCATGCATGAAAATGTCAGAAAATGCTTGTTTTTGAAAAGTCATTAAGAGTACTCTTGACTATGAGTACTTAACTAATATAATTGGCAATCCCTTTCAATCCCGAACATTAATTAACCCCTTCTACCCCAAAGAACCCCCCCCCACCTCTACTGTATCAAATGATTTCTGTAAAGTGTGTACTGGAATACCTGAATGGTCAATTAGTAGTTTATTTTTTGGAATCATTACTACAATGTGTAGCTGGCCACTTCAAGGATATTAGAGTGACTAGCCAGTCCCTACCAGACGCTGACTAGCCAGTCCCTATTGCAGAGACTATGAGCAGACCTTAGTTGCGGGAAAGGCGCATTAATGTTTATTCAACAACTTGAAAAAAAGGCCACAGAGTTCATGACTTTATAGTTTAGCAATCGATGGTCCTCAAGTGTTCGCTTCCCCACTTTGAGCAGACCTTATGGTTTTACAGTTTCTGGATTGACCCCTTCCAGTCTGGATATTGGAAGCATGATCAACAACTGGTGATTTAAACCCAGGCATGGTCAGAATGCAAACGTCTTAACTAATTGATCAAATACGATGACAGTTGATTTTAATGTGTCATTTTTTCCTTTGCTAGGTGAACTATTAAGCAATCGTGATGGTCCTGCGCCAGTTTATTTTTGCACACTTGATTCATTTTCCCAGAAGTTTAACACCCAGACAATATCTTGGGTGAACTTTGTGGTATGGTTTTCAGGCACTTTCCAAAGGTGTTATATGTTAGATTGACCCTTCCAGTCTGATGTTATCAGACTGAAGGGCCAACCCAGTCATCTCACTCCTTCCTGACAAATCGACCATGGTGAGATTTAAAACCCAGGTCTCATGGTCAGAATGCAAACGTCTTAACCACTCGATCACGTGTCCATCCACTGCACCACAATACAGTCATGATTTTTAATGTGTCATTTTTTTTCCTTTAGATTAGGATTAGAGTGAATGCAAAATTTATTTAATTAATCCTACCTGTGATATCATGGCTTTCATTAACAGCCAGTTTATTTTTGTACACTTGATTCATTTTCAGAAAGAAGTTCATAAATAACTTTTGATGTCAGACAATATTCTGCAAGCTATTCTAAGAAACTGTTGTTTAGCAAGTGCGATCCTTATGAGATACTCTGTTGTTAGGCCTTGCGACAAACTGTGTGCTAAGCTAAATAAGTCCCTCTAATCCATTAAAAGTAAAACACAAAGTGTCAAATATTATTTCAATGGAATTGATATCAAATCAATTCACAATGTTTCTTAATAGTTTCGTTCAGAAAATTAGACAGCAATTTCATTTTATTTAACACCCCCCCAGCCCCAAATTATTTTTTTAGTAATTTGCTTTCAGTCACATGTGGCAGTGAAATTAGAGTTTTCATTTCCTTCTAACTAACACAGTTAATTTTTGAAAAATGTATATATAACCAATTAAAAAAGAAAAGATTGGTCATGCATGAAAATGTCAGAAAATGCTTGTTTTTGAAAAGTCATTAAGAGTACTCTTGACTATGAGCATAACTAATATAATTCATAATATACACACACATATATATATATATATATGTATATATATATATATGTATATATATATATATATATATATATATATATATATATATATATATATATATAATATATATATATATATATATGTGTGTATATTATAGATATATATATATATATATATATATATATATATAACATATGCAACAGACTAATTGGCCTGATAATTGCATCTAACGCCAAACAATTTATCACCTCTAGTGTTGACTTCAATGTTGACTTTTCATTCTATTTTAAATCAATGAAGGACTATAATAATATAAAAAACATTCATTCACTCTATAGTAAAGAGTTCATATAATATACCAATGGAAATATTTTTATAGAAAAGACTTTTATAACTTTAATATTATGGGTTTTGACATCTTTTTCAAAGACAGATCAGAGTACATAATACAAAAGAAATTTTTGGCTAATTTTTTTCTCGATTGGAGTTACTCGAACATAACGAAAATATCTGTAATAAATGGAGGAATGGAAATATAAAATAATTCTAGATTCGGATATAAGAAAAGAAGTTCCTGGTACGAAAAAGTTTTTCTTTTTAGCAAGAATGGCGTTCAACTTCTAGAAGTTTGTATTTTACCTTTTATTTAACATTTTGAGAAGGTGCAATGAACGTGGAATCTGGATTATTTATAATGCCTGAAAGTAGACAACATGGAATCTAGCCATTTATAATGCTATTAAGCCGACAAGTTAATTTCATCTATTGTATCTTTTTTTTTACTAGCATACAAGTTTTTATTTCTGGAAATTTCTGATTTTTTTAGGCATAAAACGTTAGAATCATACCGGCTCGAATTTATGAAAC